TCAGGGAACAGGTCAACAGGTTTTATAAAACATTATTGTTGTTCACTCACCCAGTGGTGTCTTTGCAACCCATGGACTGCAGCACACCAGGCCTCACTGTCCCTCACCATCTCATGGAGTTTGCCTAAGTCCATGTTCATGTCATCGCTGATGCTGTCTGGCCATCTTCTCCTCTGATGCCCTCTTCTCCTTCTGTCCTCAACCTTTTCCAGTATCAGGGACTCTTCCAGTGAGTCACCTGTGTACATCAGATGACCAAAATACTGGAGCTTCAGCTTCAGCCTCAGTCCTTCCAGTGAATATTCTGGGTTGATCTCCCTTCAGATGACTGGTTTGATCTCCTTGCTGTTGAAGGGACTTTCAGGAGTCTTCTCCAGCACCACAGTTCAAAAGCATCAGTTCTTTGGCATTCTGCCTTCTTTATGGTTCAGCTCTCACAACCGTATTGACCACTGGGAAGACCATAGCCTTGACTATATGGACCTTTGTATGGCAGAGTAATGTCTCTGCTTTTCAACACACTGCCTAGGTTTGTCATCGCTTTCCTGCCAAGAAGCAATCGTCTGCTGATTTCATGGCTGCAGTCATCATCCGCAGTGATTTTGGAGCCCAAGAAGAGGCGCCTATCTTGATTCTGGCTTGTAACTCATCTAGCCTGGTATTTCTCATGATGTGCTCAGCGTATAGGTTAAACAAACAGGATGACAGCAGACAACCCTCTTGTATTCCTTTCTCGATCTTGAACCAATCAGTTGTTCCATACAGGGTTCTAACTGTTGCTTCTTGACCTGCATACAGGTTTCTCAGGAGACAGGTAAGATGGTCTGGTATTCCCATCTCTCTAAGAGCTTTCAACAGTTTGTCATGGTCCACACAGTCAAAGGCTTTAGTGTAGTCAATGAAACAGAGATAGATGTTTTTCCGAAATTCCCTTGCTTTCTCTATAATCCAGTGAATGTTAGCAATTTGACCTGTAGTTCCTCTTCCTTTTCTAAACCACCTTGGACATTTGGAAGTTCTTGGTTTGCATAAAGCTGAAGCTTAGCATGCAAGATTTTAGGCATGACCTTACTAGCATGGGAGATGAGTGCAATTGCTGAATGGCTAGCACATTCTTTGATACTGCCCTTTTTGGGAATTAGGATGAGGACTGACCTTTTCCAGTCCTGTGGCCACTGCTGGGTCTTCCAGATTTGCTGACATAGTGAATGCAAAACCTTGATGGCATCCTCCTTTAGGGATTTGAATAGTTCTGCTGGAATTTTCATCAAATCACTAGCTTTATTAACAGCAGTGCTTCTTAAGGCCCACTTGACTTTGCACTCTGGAATGTCTGGCTCTGGGTGACTAAAACATTATATCAGAGATCTAAACTCAGAATCATAGATTTGAACTTGAAGAGAGCTTAGAGCTCCCCTAACCCAGCAGTTTGAAAAGTCTCTTCTATTTCAAATGCTTTGTTCAAAAGAAATCTTATCTAGTATATGGAATAGAGCTAGTCTGACAGAGCACACCCCAAGCTGTCATCACCAGTGCCACACTAAGGTAGGGCCTCTGAGCACAATATGAAAATTGGTCCCCTGGATCCTCCTTGTTCCACAACTGGGGATACAGCCCAGGAAGAGGAGACTCAGACAAGAGCACATGGAAACTTCTTGATTTTAGAGCCAGATTGTGACTGTGCGAAATGGGATGCCAGATAGAATTTAAAAGGAAAGAAACAGGGGATTTCTCTGGTGGTCCAGGGCTTCTCTGGTGGCTTAGATGATAAAGAATCTACCTGCAGTGAGGGAGACCTGGGTTCCATCCCTAGGTCAGGAAGATCCCTTGGAGAAGGGGATGGCAACCCACTCCAGTATTCTTGCCTAGAGAATTCCATGGACAGAGGAGCCTGGCGGGCTACAGTCCATGAAGTCTGCATGGAGTTGCTCCGACACAACTGAGCAACTAACACTTTCACAGATGGTCCAGTGTTTAAGACTCTGGGCTCCCAATTCAGGGGGCATGTGTTCCATCGCTGGGGAGCTAATATCTCAAATGACATGCTGCATGCTATGGCCAAATAAAAAATTGGAAAGAAATATAACTTCTACCTATGAAAAACAAAGTGATTGAAGTTAAAAATTCAATGGATAGGTTAATTCATAGAGAGATTCACCAGAGAAAAGAATCAGTAGCCTTGAAGATTAGAGATGAAGGATGCAGCAGAGAACAGAAGTTAAACAAAAGACAGAGTCAGAAGGTCCAATAAAAATATCATCAGAGCTACTGAGGGAGACAGCACGAGAGAGAGGTAACATCCAAAGAAACAACAGTGGGTTTTCCAAAATGGAAAGACACCAAACCCAAGATCCAGGGAGCCAAACAATCTCCAAACAGAATTAGTAAGAGGAAATCCACGTTTATCAACATAATGGAACTTTGTTCATTCACTGATATATCTTCAGCACCAAGAACAGTGCTGGCTCCCAGTAAGTCCTTTATAAAAGTTATAAAGGGAATGGGGGCTTCCCTGGTGGTCCAGTGGTTAAGAATCTATCTTGCAATGCAAGGACACTGGTTTGATCCCTGGTCTGGGAACATCCCACATGCTGCCAACTAAGCCCATGTATCACAACTACTAAGCTGACGCCCTAGAGTCCATGCTCTCCAACAAGAGAGTAGCCCTGCTCACTGTAACTAGAGAAAGCCTGTGCACAGCAACAAAGACCCAGGGAGGCCAGTTAAAAAAAAAAAAAAGTTATGGAATGAATGGATGAATGAAAACAGCAGAACATCAAGGACAAACATTAAGATCCCAAAAGCAGTTAGATAGAAAAAATATTGTTCTAAAAAGGAATGACAATTGTCAACTGAAAAAAAAATGCATAGCCTAAAGGTAGAAAATTATGTTTTATTTGGCGGACAAAACTGAGGACTTAAGCAAGGGACACAGCCTCTCAGAAAGCTCTGGGAAACAGCTCCAAAGAGGTAAGTAAGGGGGAAACCAAGGTATATAGGAGTTTTTGCAACAAAGACCAGCTAATCAGAACATCAAAAGGTTCATTAAAGAAAACCAGACGTTTCAGGTAGATGCATGTAGCAATTTTCTAGGTATGCAAAGATGTAAAAGTCTGGGCTCCTTGATGTCATTCCTTTGATATGCATCTCAGTTACCTGGGGCCAGTATTCTGTGCTTTCTCATTCTGAGTGTCCTCAGGGGGCACCTCAGGGGCCACTCTTATGTGGTAGCTTGACAACTGCAGCATCCTGTTTACTGATATGGCAGCAACATTTTTTCTTTATAAAATTATACTGTCAGCTGATGTCTAGTGAGGTATCTGTCAGAATGAAATACATATTCAGAGGAACACCAGTGGAGATGATCTCCAAGAGACATTCCCTACAGAGGCGTCTGAAGAATCTTTTTTTGGAAGAAGGAAATTTTTCCATAAGGTAGATCTGACACCCATGAAGGAAATATTAATAGTAAACATGTGGTTTAGTGTTCAAGACAATAATACTATATGTCAGGAGAAGCAGACCAGGCACAGTGTTACCAAGTCCATTTGGGGTCTGAAGGGAAGGTAATTACTGGATTAACTTTAGACTTTGTTAAATAAATACACATATTTAAATGTTTTGGAGAACCACTGAAGAAGAAAAAATGTGTAATTTCCAAAACAGTGGTGGGGGAAAATATGAGGAAAAAGACAAGAAAGGGAGAGTCCCTGGTGGTCGAGTGGCTAAGATTCCTTGCTCCCAATGCAGGGGGCCCAGGTTCGAATCCTGGTCAGGGAACTAGAGGTCACATGCTGCAACTAAGAGTTCGAATGTCACAGCCAAAGATTCTGCATACCTCAAGAAAGATCAAAGATCCCATGTGCCGCAACCAAGACCCAGCACAGCCAAATAAATAAATAAAATTTTAAAAATAAATTAAAAAGGCAAGAAAGGAGAAAAAAAAAAAAAAACCATGAAATGTGACCATTAGCAAGCACCAAATAAGATGGTTTATATAAATAGAGTCATATATTTGTAAACGACTTTTAAAAAAATTCCAGCCACATTGTGTTTTAAGAACCATGCCTAAAATATACAGACACAGGAAGGCTGAAAGTAAATGGATGAAAAAGTTAAACCAGGCAAATAATAGAGCTGGTAAATATAATTACCAGATTGATTTGACTTTAAGGCAAAAAGTATTACTAGAGATAAAAGAGGACTTGAAGTAATAACCACACCCTCCTTCAAGAATTGCTTTAATTTAAAGGCTCTTTGGCCTCACCTTGCTAAACAGCGAACTCTCACATCAAACCCGTGAGAGAGTCGAGTAAGTCTCATCACTCCTCTTTCACAGATGAGGAGCCTGCGGTTTGGAAACGTTAGACACTTCTGCCTAAGGTCAGACAGCAGCGGAATCAATATTGATCACAAGTCCTCTGACTCCACGCTCCATGCTCTCCGTGTTTAGAAAGGAGAAAATGGGAAAGAGCAGGGCAGGGCTGGGTGGGGAACAGCACATAGGCAAAGAGGCTTGGCAGGGAGAAAATGCCTGGAAAAAAGTAAAATTGCTCCAAACTTGCCCCGACACACCGTGGAGGGGAGTGGGTCGGGTGGATTCCAGCCAGTTTTGAAGGGACCCCAGGCTCTGTGCCTGGTGGCTCAGATGGTAAAGTGTCTGCCTACACTGCGGGAGACCCGGGTTCGATCCCTGGGTTGGGAAGATCCTCTGGAGAAGGAAATGGCAACCCACTCCAGTACTCTTGCCTGGAAAAGCCCATGGCCGGGGGAGCGTGGTAGGCTACAGTCCATGGGGTCGCAAAGAGTCGGACACGACTGAGCGACTTCACTTCACAAAGCTTTGCGCAACAAGCTTGCACGAGGCCACCTACCTTGCCAGTACCCTAGCGCGGAGGACCGTCCCTTCCAGCGCCCTCGAGCCCGCGCACGCGCAGACACCAGTAGTCGGGCTCAGGACTCCCACGCAGGCGCCGCGCGCACCCTCCGCAGGCAGCCGCTGAACGCTGGGCGGGCGCGCTCTCTGACGTCTCCCAACACACATCCCACTTACCTGGGTCGTTAGCCGGCCGGCCTGAGACCCCCTCCAGTGAAGGTGGACGGAAGGTGAAGGCGGACGGAAGGTGAAGGTGGACCAGAGGAAGACAGACGCGTGGGAGGGCAGGTCCAGGAAGGCAGGAAAACAATTCTGGTGGGAAGAGATGCTCTGATCACCTTAACCGGCCAAGGATGGAGTGCCTGCGGGGTGGGGGGGCCGGCGGGGTGGGGTGTGAGAAGAAGGTAGATAGGCAGGTGAGTCCAGGCATGGGACCAGGGGAGTTGGAGGTAGGAAAGGATATTGTGGATTGAGCTGTCTCAACTCTCCTTTGAAAAGAGGTAAGGGTCGAGGTGGTCCTGGTTAGGAACATGCACTGTGGAGTTGGACCCCCGGCATAGCCCTTCTGCAGCTGCTGATCTACTTTAACATTTGGGCTGGGCAGGCTTTAAACTCACATGTAAAACAAGGAACTACTTCTTAGGACTGCAGAGCAGATTAAATGACAGGAAGCATCCTAAAGGCTGCATGATGCTGAGTACCAGCCGGTCACTCCTTTTACACAATGTGCAGGCCCCTGCTAGGTGCCAGATACTGTTTATTCTATGTGCTGTGAATACAGCAGGAGAAGAGAGGGTGGCTTCAGTCCCCTGAAGGGAGAAGAGCAATTTCTTCAGTCTGTTAGTCTGGGAAAAGTCAAGGAGAAAAGTCAGGCAGGGTGAAAAGAGGGAGTAGGGAGGGTACTGTGGAAAGGGGCGAGGGAGTGGTCAGGGAAGGGCTCCCGGTGAAGTCTGAGCAGGACTTGAAAGAATGAGGGAGGGTGGGAGGGAGAGAGAGAGTTCTGAGCAGAAGGGACAGCAAGTGCAAAGGCCTTGAGGTGGGAACATGCACAGCATTTTGGAAGAACATGGAGGAAGCTGATGTGTTCAGAGCAGAGAGAACAAGGGAGGGAGTGGGGGTGGGGGGAGGTGGGGTACCTAAGCGTGGGGAGCAGATAGCTAGGGCAGGGGTCAGAGAGTAAACATATGCAGCCACAGACAAACACAACCAGAGAGCGGGACTGTGTTCCATCGTCACTTTGTACATAATAAACAAGGTCCCTACGGTAGGGCTTCGAAACCTTGGTTGAAGACTGAGTGAGTTGGGGAAACTTTGGCGGTCTTTGAGTTGAGTCAGGGCAGACTTGGATTTCAGTGTTCACAGGTCACTCTGCCCTCCGTGGGAAAGAGGCTCTGGGTGTGGGGACAAGGGCAGAAGAGGGGAGACCAGTTAGGAGGCAAGAAGGGAGGGTGACTCAACCCAGGGAGGTGAGGATGGAGGCGGGGAGCAGCGGCAGATTCTGGGTGTCTTTGGAAGGTAGGACAGATGGAGTTAGCTGATGGACTGCATGTGAGGTGAGGGAGTCAGGAGTCAGGATGTCCTGATGGAGCCGTCCTTCGGGAAGAAGAGCAGGATGGGAGTCTGGGTGAGAAATGTCTGAGGCTGAGGTCACCTGGGGTGTGAGGATCAGGGGAGTGGGGGTGTGGGCTGGGACTTAACATGGAGAGGAGGAGGAACCAGCAGAAGAGACTGGAAAATAGGCAGGAGGGATGGAGGGAAACTGAGAGGGGGCAACCTGGAGTCAGGGAGACAGGGCCTCTGAGGAGACTGAATAATCAGTGTCCGGCCTCCAAAAAACAGAGGGCTGGGAATTCCCTGGCGGTCTGGTGGTTAGAACTCCGCACTTTCACTGGGTTTGATGCTCCTTGGAAGGAAAGCTTTGACAAACCTAGACAGCATATTAAAAAGCAGAGGCATTACTTTGTCGACAAAGGTCCATATAGTTAAAGCAATAGTTTTTTCAGTAGTCGTGTAAGGATATGAGAGTTGGGCAACAAAAAAGGTAGAGCACCGAAGAATTGATGTCTTCGAACTGTAGTGGTGGAAAAGACTCTGAGAGTCCCTTGGACAGCAAGGAGATCCAACCAGTCCATCCTAAAGGAAATCAGTCCTGAATATTCATTGGAAGGACTGATGCTGAAGCTGAAACTCCAACACTTTGGTCACCTGATGTGAAGAACTGACTCCTTGGAAAAGACCCTGATGCTGGGAAAGATTGAAGACAAGAGGAGAAGGGGACAACAGAGGATGAGATGGTTGGATGGCATCACTGACTTGATAGACATGAGCTTGAGCAAGCTCTGGGAGCTGGTGATGGACAGGGAAGCCTGACATGTTGCAGTCCATGGGGCAAAGAGTTGGACATGACTTAGTGACTGAACAACAACAGGGAGCTAAGATCCTGCAAGCTGGGGGCTGAGAACTGGCCAGGGGTGCAGCACCTCAGAGGTCACCTAGAGGAAAGGAGCTTTGGGGTGAGGGGAGTCCAAGTGCAATGAGGTCAGCAGAGGTGAAGGTGGGGAAGGAACAGGGATTTGGGGGTGATGAGAAGGGAAGACATGGCCTGGGTCCTTCCTGGAGGCTCAGAAGGAGAGTGTTGCTGCTGTTTGGTGTTTTTGTTTTTAAAAATGGAAAAAAATAACCACCGTTTAAGTGCTGATGGGGATGAATCAGTCAAGAAAGGGGAAGTGTTGATGATGGGGGAAGTGACTTAGGGAGTGGGGACAAGGCCCTGACACACCATAGCCTGCGTCCTGTCCCCCAGCTCTGTGTCCTGGTGGGGTGGGGGGCTGAATCAGCTGAGAGGCTATGGGGATTGAAGGTGCTCTTTCTGAGTCACAGAATGGGACCTCAGAGGTCAGTGGTAGCCCCGTGTGCTGGCTTTGGGCAGGGCAGACAGGATGGAGCACAGAGGAGGGTCAGGCAGGTGGGGGGACCACACAGGATGGCAGAGAGACTATGGATACAAAGGGGGCAAGTGGGGACACTTAACAGCATTTCTCTTTTTTAATATATATATTTATTTTTGTTTATTTATTAGTTGGCTGCACTGTGTCTTAGTTGCAGCACGCGGGATCTTTAGTTGCAGCTTTTGTTTTTGTTCAGCCACTAAGTCATGCCTGTCGCTTTGCGAACCCATGGATTGCATCATGCCAGGTTCCTCTGTCCTCCACTGTCCCCTGGAGTTTACTCAAAATTCATGTCCATTGAGTCGGTGATGCCATCCAACTATCTCATCCTCTGCTCATCCTCGCTCAATCCAACCTCTCATTCTCCTTTGCCTTCAATCTTTCCCAGCATCAGGACCTTCAGGTGGGATCTAGTTCCCTGACCAGGGGCTGAACCCAGGCCCCCTGCATTGGGAGCATGGTGCCTTAGCCTCTGGACTGCTAGGAAGTGCCAGCATTTCTCTTCTGATGTCCCTATTTGATGGGTAAAATAGGAACAAGTTCTGCTGTGGGGGGTGAGTGGAGAAGAGGGGGCAGAGGCCTGAGGACATCAGAGAAAGTGTGAGTTAGCGTCTGGGAGGGCCAGGAGGAGGGGACTAGAGTTTGATTCTCCGGCAGCCTTGGGGGCCCCTCTTGAGACTGAAGGTGGTACTTTCTGAGCAAGGCCACCAGTGCATTGTAGGGTTTCCTTTAGTCACTTTAACCTGTGTTGTCATTTTTCTGAGTGAGTGGCAGAGAGGAGGAGCTGGGAGGGTGCATAAGGGATGGTTAGAACACTGGATGGTTAAGCTGCAGGAGGTGGGAGAGAGACATCAAGGATCAAAGGGTGAAGGGTGATGAGAACAGAGGACCAGGTCTCACGAAAGGTCCACAGGAGGGAGCTGGAAAGATGGTGTGGTCTCTGAAACAAATTAGGGAGGGGTGCAGTTATTGAGGATGACAAAGTCTGGTGGGACCCTGGGCACCAGAGGCTGAGGTTGGGTGAAGGACAAGATGGTGGGAGGCAAGAAGGTCAAGGACTCACAGACCAGGAGTTAGAGGGATCATCCACATGGAGGATAAAACCACCCAGAACTTAGGTGTGTGTTGGACAAAGTGACAGTGAGCCTAAGCTGACATATTCAAGAAATAAATAATCAAGACTTCCTTGCTGGCTCGCCTGGAGCTTAGAGCCAGAGCATTCTAGAGAAGAGAGAGGGCGAATGGTTGGGAAGTGGCCATAGGAATCAAAGAGGGACACCCCATCCTGCCTGGAGGTCTGAAAGAAAGAGCCCCTACTGAGAAGCCTGCTGGGGAAGCACAGTCCACAGGAACCTGTCATCAGTGTTAGGAGTGGGTGCGGAAGACATGAGAAAATGACAAGGGAAAGGGGTGGTAGGGACTGGGGAGAGGAGACTCGAAGGGGCCCTGAACAGGACAGCCAGGCTGGACCTCAGGGCAGCCAGGGATGCTGCTGAAGGGTGGGGTTGGGGACCAGGGATGGGCATGGCTGGGTAGGAACTGAGCGCCCTGTCCTCACCCCTCAGAGCCCCTCTAATCAAATAGGACCGCCAGCTGTGGTGTGGAACAAGATCACTGCCCCTGCCCCCCGGCTTTGCCCTGGAGCACATGGAGCTGAGACCTGATGCCAGCCACAAGGAGAATGTGCCCCCCAGGCCGGCAACCTCCCTGAAGCCAGGCAAGAGGTTCAGTGGGTCTGGGTCAGAGGTGGCAGGAGCAGGGTCCCCTGGGGTAGCAGCCCAGAGTCCCTTTTGCAGACAGCCCAGCCAGGGCTTTGTTGATTCCTGAGATTGCTCTTTGAGGCCAACTGGACCAGGACAAAGTCTTCCAGTCCAAGGCCCAAGGGAGGATCAGGAAGTCAGGACATGAGGTGAGGAAGGGGGAAACAGGAGCTCCAGAGCTCGATCTCTGCAGTGGTGGGCTGGGGAACACCTCTGCTCAGGTGCCTGGGGCTTCCAGAAGGCCACAGAGCTGTGTAGCCAAGAGTGGGAGCAACCCAAGAACCAGTTCAGATTCCAACTGACATACCAGTTTCTCTGTGTTCTTAGCTGTGTGACCACAGGGCAAGGCTCTTAACCTCTCTGAACTTTAGTTCCTGTCTGCAAACTTTAATGGCCCACTCTACCTGCCAGGCCCTCCCAGGCATCTCACCAGTACCCAAGAGGCCGGTAGAAGGGAGGCAGGCTGGGGAGACTGGGGGCGGTGGGGAGGGGGTGGTGGCTGGGAAGTGGAGGGCTCTAAACTCCACGCCCATGGTCCCCAGAGCAGCTCCCTTTTAACTATAATGTGTTGGATCTTGCTTTCACTCCAACTGTGAGCCACCCTCTCACCCAGCACCTCTGCTCAAGCTGGACACCACCAGGGAGTTGTCCTTGATGCTTCACCCTCTTTTACGCCTTCACCTTCTCAGCAGATCTGATCTGCCTCCTCTCCACCCTCCTACTGCCCCCATCCCAGCCCCATCACCTCTCACCTGGGAGCCCCCTCAGCAGCCTCCCCCGTCTCTCCCTGCTTCCCGCTGCCCTCCTCTGAGCCCCTTCCCCGCTCCCCGCTATGAGTCCCTGCACTGACACCAGGTCACTGCGCTGGGGTGCATCCATCAGTCCACCCGGGACAATAGCTGACACAGACCTCTGGACTCTGGGCTCCCTCCGCCATCCCTCCTGAGCACTGACCACAGAGTCCTCCCCCAGCACATAACTGTCTGTCCTTTCTTTAGAGCCACGGAGATTCCGGAAGAGCCTGGGTGTCGGCCTGGCCAGTAGACGTGGCCAGTGGGTGTCCATGGGCCCGGCTGAGAGGGAAGGGCCTGCTGCCACACCGTGTCTGGGGACAGCACTACACCAGGAGCCTTGCCGAGTCCAGAGCAACCTGGCCAGCCCCAGCCCCAGCCTGGGCCTCGTCCTGAGGGACATGACCGGCCGGCTGACCAACTCAAGCTTCCGGCAGCAGGACAACCTGCAGCCCTTGGTTGGGAGACCCCAAAGGAGAGTCCAAGACTTTGCGATCCAGCAAAGTAACTTGTGTGCTAGGGAGACCCACACGGCTGAGTGTGGACGTCTCACCAGCCCCCAGCTCTGGTCAGAGCCTCAGGAGAGCTTCCGGCCCCACCTGATGCCCCAGGGAAGCCCCCTACCCCAAGGGCCACTGGCTCGCCCATCCTCCAGTCTGAGGCAGTCCTGGCTGCTGGCCACAGATACCTCTTGCCCAGACATCGGGCTTGCTACAGGGCTGGCCCCACTCAAAGGGCCCACATGGTCAGACCCCAGATCCCGGTGTGGCCTGGGGGGCTGGACCTCCAGGCTCGTGGGGAAACCCCTGACCCTGAAAGACCTGGCTGTCCCTGCCCAGAGCCTACCTCAGGCCCCATCCCAAGCTGCCATTCACCAGCTGCTGGTCTGCGTTCAACGCCTGGAGTGCCAGGCAGTGCGGCTCAGGTGCCAGGCATCCCGGGAATTCCCAGGCCCTGTGTGGCAGGAGCCTTGGACCAGAGCTGGCCAGACACTCCCTGTCCACCCCCAGCTCAGCCAGCCTGTTCTTGATTCCTGGGATGAGAGGAGGAGACACTCCCGAGGCCTCAGGGAAACTACTAGTTTCCCAGAGACTCCGGGGCCCCAGGAGGGTCTCTCAGACTCTCAGGCAAGCAGCAAGCATGGATCACTGGGGACCACTCTGGCGATGCTGCCTGGGGATGCCCTTGACCCTGAGCAGGTGGTCCTTTCTGCCTGCACCCTAAGGCAAGGAGAGCAAGGCTCCTCGGGGACTACACACGGCTGGGGGCAGAGGGGGGACCCCCTGCGCCCTCCAGGTGTGGACAGCAGGGAGGCCAGACTCTGCTCTTCAGCCTCATCCAGTTCAGCCCAGGGCATCCTCCCTGGGCGGGAAGGAGGGGGCAGGACCCCAAGGGAGCAGATCAGCAGGGAGAAAGAAAGGCCAGCTTCCAGGAATGCCCTGCAGGTAGGGGCCAGAGGAGTCTGGGAGTTTGGGGACTCTGGGTTGGGGGCTGCCCTCCCTCCCAGGAATTCTCACTCCAAGCTGGCTGTCACTACCCTGTTGCCCTCCCTCAAAAGGGAGGCCTTGGGCAGGCAGGCTTAGAAGGGGGTATCTAGTCCTGCTTGCTTCTCAGCCTGAGAGCATGTTGTGTTCTTTTATTTTCCAAGAGCAAAGCCAGAAACACGGTGAACCTGCAGCCTGAGTTAGGCCGGTGAGGTTATGTGCTGTGGCGTGGGGACCGAGGCCACACTCTGGGAACAGCTCCTCTCCCACTTGCCTGCAGATTCGGGCCTGATGGCGATAAGGCCGGGCTGGCAGATCCTTGCAGAATTTAAGGGGGAGGGAAACTCCCAGGCCCCTAAGGACAGGAAGGTGGGGGCTGCTGCTTCCTGGGATCTGAAACTTGTTAAGCTGCCCTGCAGCTTGGCAGTCAAACAGGGCATTCCCCTGCCTCCATGAGCCCTTTTTTATGGGATTTCCAAGGCTAGCCCTCTGTAGAGGAAAGTCCTCCCAGTGTCCAGCCAGCCCTCTTGCCTCAGGGTGGAGCATCACCCTTCGTGCTGGAAAGGCAATGTGGGTGGCGCTGAGCCCCCAGCTGCTCCCTGGGGCTGGGGGCCAGGCCCACCCCTGGTCAGCCTTGTCCGTCCCCAGCTGGCAGTGGCTGTCCAGATGTTTCAGAGCATGGTGGCGCTGGGCACGGCGGCGGCGGACAGTGGCGGCGGCTGTGGCCCTGGGCCGGCGGCAGCTGTTACGCAGGGGTCTGCGGGCACTGCGGTGGGCACTGTGGCTCCGGGAGGCCCAGCTGGAGGCAGCATGGGGGCAACACACACAGGCCTTGCTGGCCCGGACCTTCCAGAAGGTTAGGAACCTCCAGATTGGGGCATAGAGAGGTGATGAAACACCTGTGTGTCTGGGGAGGAGGCTCTCTTGGAGCACAGGTTGTTCCCCCTGAGTAATTAGCAGTAGAAGGGGCAGGCATCAGCCCAGGCACAGGACTGAACTCTGCTCAAGTTTAAATCCTATTTCCACCACTTTCCTTTCCCCCACATTTTCTCGTTGTGTGACCTTGGGGGAAGTTACTTGACCTCTCTGAGCCTTAGTCTCTTTAGCTCTGAAATGCACTCACATTTACATAGCTCTCAAGGTTGTGAGGTTGTGCTGTGCTTATTTGCTCAGTTATGTCCGACTCTTTGCGATCCCTCTGTCCATGGGAATTCTCCAGGCAAGAATACTGGAGTGGGTTGCCACGCCCTCCTCCAGTGGATCTTCCCAACCCAGGGATGGAACCCAGGCCTCCCACATTGCAGGTGGATTCTTTACCAGCTGAGCTACCAGGGAAGCCCCTTTGTGAGGTTAAATTAATAAATATAAGGAACTCAGAATTCTGCCTAGCACATAGCAAGCCTTCTGCTATTTAAGTGGTTGCTTTTTTTTTTTTTTCTTTTTTTAAACTAGGGGCTTCCCTGGTGGCTCAGCAGTAAAGAATCTGCCTGCCAATGCAGGAGATGCAGTTTCTATCCCTGGGTCAGGAAGATCCCTTGGAGAAGGAAATGGCAACCCACTCCAGTATTTTTGCCTGTGAAATCCCATGGATAGAGGAGCCTGGTGGGCTACAGTCCATGCTGTCCAAAGAGTCGGACACAACTTAGCAATTAAGCAACATTTTACTAGAGGTTTGCTAGCCAGGACTGGGAGGGCATTTCTGTGTTCGTCCCTCCTTAGGAAAAGTGCTTTGGGAGGGCCTAGCTCCAGGTTTTGTCTCCCAAGGAAAACCCTGCCTCTTGGGCTCCATTTCTCCATCCATCCATCCATCCATCCATCCATTCCCAAAGAGGCTGGGGCATCTAATTGGTTAAGACTACAGTGTCTGACTTTGTCTCTGCCCTTCCCGCTCAGGGCACATTTGAGGCATCAGCCAACATCCTTCTTCCCCTTCTCTCTTGACCTAGTGGAGACACTTGATTCAGCAGCACAAACAAGGGCAGCCTCACGTCCAGGCTGGGCCAAGACCCCTGTCCTCCCGGGGAGACCAGGACCAAGGCCCCTCAGGAAGGAAGCCGGTGGTGGACGGTGCCTGGAGAAGCAGGTAGTCTGGGACACCCCAGGTTGGTCAGTGTGACCTGGACAATGATTGTGCCTTCCCTCCTTGTCCCCCACTTCCCCTCAAATGTGGACAAGGATTTATGCAAAAGGATGTCCATCGTGGCATTATTTATACCTATGAAAGCTTCAAAACAGCCTAACTGTCCAACATCAAGTGAGAAAATTGTCATTTAACCATGTGATTAACATTTGGCAACTGTTCAATATGATGTTTATCAAGATTTTAAAAATTCCTCCCCACTCTTTTTTTCTTTATTTTTTGTTTCCATATCTTTATTGGTGTTCTTTCCTATTATAATAATCATAATAGGAATGCATGCTTGATTTGAAAAAACATTCAAGATAGTTGCAAGTATTTCAAATAATTCAAAAGTTTCATCTCCCTTCTTATGTATCTTATCTTCCTTCCTAGAAGTAGCTTTATGGGTATTTGCATATGGGTATTTTTAATGCTGGGGGGGGCGGGAAAGAGGGTAAAAAACAGTACCTAATGAGCTTCCCTGGTGGCTCAGTGGTGAAGAATCCACCTGCAATGCAGGAGACACGGGTTTGATCCCTGGTCTGGGAAGATCCCACCTGCTGTGGAGCAACTAAGCCTGTGTGCCACACGTACTGAGCCTCCTCTCTAGAGCCCGGGGAATCACAACTACTGAGCCCATATGCCACAACACTGAAGCCTGTGTGCTCTGGAGCCCGTGCTCCACAACAAGAGAAGCCACTGCAATGAGAAGCCCTCTCAAATGCAACTAGAGAGTAGTCCCCACTTGCCAGAGCTAGAAAAGAGCCCGTGCAGCAATGAAGCCCCAGCACAGCTCCCCCCATCAAAATAGTACCTAAGAAGGAATTCCCTGGCAGTCCAGTGGTTAGGATTCTGCACTTTTTTAAAAAATTTTTTAATTTATTTTTAATTGGAGGATAATTGCTTTACAATATTGTGTTTGTTTCTGCCCTATGTCAACATGAATCAGCCATAGGTATACATATGTCTCCTCCTTCTTGAGTCTCCCTCCCCACCCCACCCCTCTAGGTTGTCACAGAGTACCGGGTTTGAGCTCCCTGCATCATATAGCAAACTGAAACATAAGCATCACTATATGTAAAATAGCCAGCCAGTGAGAATTTGCTGCAGAACTCTGTGCTTTCACCGCTAAGGGTGTGGGTTCTGTCCCTGGTTGGGGAAATAGGATTCCACAAACTGTGTGGCCAAAAGAAAAAATAGTACCCAAGATGGGCTTCCCTGATGGCTCAGCTGGTAAAGAATCCACCTGCAATGCAGGAGACCTGGGTTTGATCACTGGGTTGGGAAGATCCCCTGGAGAAGGGAAAGGCTGCCTACTCCAGTATTCTGGCCTGGAGAATTCCACGGACTGTATAGTCCATGGGGTTGCAAAGAGTCAGACACAACTGAGTGACTTTCACTTCACTTCAGTACCCAAGATATTGTTTTCTATGAATGAAAAATAGTGCATAGAAAAAAGACCAGAAGGAAAAATATTAAAATGTTACATAACAATGTGAATTACTTAACACCACTGAACTGTTCACTTAAAATGGTTATTGTGTTTAAAATATTCATTTAAAATGGTTAAGATGGTAAATTTTATGTGTATTTTACCACTGTTAAAAATAAATATAAGTAAATAAATCTTATTTCCCCCCGTCCCTCCAAAAATGCTAAAATGGAAATAATGGTCATTTCTGGAGCAGTGAGGTTAAAGATGGTTATTTTCAGTTCCTCAGTTTTCCATTCCAACGATGAATTGGTTTTGTTCTTATTTTCATTTTTTAATTTTTAAAATTCTATTTATTTATTTTTGGCTCTGCTGGGTCTTTGTTGCTGCTTGCTGGCTGTCTCTAGTTGCAGTGAGTGGGGGCTACACTTTGTGTGGTGCTCAGGCCTCTGACTGTGGTGGCCTCTCTTCCTGTGGAGCGCAGGCTCTAGGCTCATGGGCTTTAGTAGTTGCGGCTCTCGGGCTCTAGAGCACAGGCTTAGTAGTCGTGGTGCACAGGCTTAGTTGCCCCATGGCACGTGGGAGCTTCCCAGACCAGGACTTAAACTCATGTGCCCTGTTGGCAGGCGCATTCTCAACCACTGGACGAACCATCAGGGAAGTCCCATTCTTATTTTTAAACAGTTGTGTTTAAAAGATTTAAGTAATATTTATTTGAATGCATGTTGGTTGTAAAAAACCCAAATAGTATTAAACAGAATACAGAAAGAGCAGAACCCTCCCCCAAATTACTTGCATAATCAGGAACAGAATGTACTGTCTGGAATAGAACAGGGGGGTGGCTCAGCGCACCTTTGCTCCTGCCGGCAAATGGTCCTTCAGGACTGGGGTGGATGGGTTGCGACTGGGTGCCCTCCCTAGGCCTGGGAGGCCATCAGTTTCTCTCTGGGCAACTTCACTCTCAGTCCAGGGAGTCTGAGAGAAGAGGCGGGAGCCCAGCCGATCCCGTTGTGTGCTGGGCCGAGGCCAGATGGAGGAGATAGGGGAGTCCTGATCCTGCAGACTCTGCACCAGCTGACTGGTGAGACACGGGGTTCTGGGGAAGTGGGGAGATGGATCCAGGCAGGGCAGGGCCCGAGTCCCTACACTGGGCAGACGGAGCCAGCGGGGTAGGCCCAGGCCCCCACACTGGGCAGGGCAGGCGGTCAGGGGTCCTCAGAGAGTGAGTGAGTGTTTACTGAGTATCTACCCTGGCAACTTCCCAGACAAGATCTCATTTAAGTCTCATGGTGACCTTGGCAAGGCATTGTGCCCATTTTACTGATGGGGAACTGAGGCACAGGGCAATTAAGTGATCAGCTCAAGGACACACAGTATGAGAGGGACACATCCTGCATTTGTGTGCCATGGAAGATGGATACAGGCCAGACAGAAGCTTGTATATTAGAACCGGGAAGTCCTTAGATATGACTTACTCATGGGGAAACTGAGGCCCAGAGATGGAGAGTGACTGACTGGTCCGATCAGCCTGGCATCCCAGGACTCAGTGGTCCCTCCTGGCTCTGTTGCTTCCCTCCACTCACTCTCTCTTCCCTCCTTCTTCCCACCCCCTTTAGTCTTCCTCCTGTGGTGTCATCAGAAGGAATGGGCCAGGCAGGAGGAGGGGGTCCAGGGAGAGGCCTCCCAGGCCACGCTGAGGACTCGGAAGATAGGGAGGCCCCCCCACACCTGGCGCTCTCCTGCTGCAGGGGCAGCCTGGGTGGCCCTACTGGACCCTCAGCATCGGAGAGCCTGTCTCTGCAGGTAGGGGGAAGAGAGAATGGGGACCACCTTCCCTAAGGCAAAGGGTGGGATGCAGCTGGGAAATGCCCTTTAAGTCAGTTTTTTAAAAAATATTTATTTATTTGGCTTCACTGGGTCTTAGTTGCGGCAAGCAGGATCTTTAGTTGTAGCATGTGGGATCTAGTTTCCTGATCAGGGATTAAACCCAGGCCCCTGCACGGGAGGGTGGAATCTTAACCACTGGACCACCAAGGAAGCCCCTTAAGTCAATTCTTGACTCCTAGTGTTGAGAGAACAATGAAAATAAGAAATGAACACATCCACCATTTAGTGAGACACCAAGACCTGCCAGACACCACCCAGGGGCTGGGACTTAGTTATGTATGTGTGCACAGTTGCTAAATCCTGTCTTACTCTTTGTGACCCCATGAACTACAGTTCATCAGGCTCCTCTGTCCATGGGATTTTCCAGGCAAGAATATTGGAGTGGGTTGCTGTTTCCTCCTCCAGGGGATCTTCCTGACTCAGGGATCAAACCACATCTCCTGTGTCTCCTGCATTAGCAGGTGGATTTTTTTTTTTAATTGGAGGATAATTACTTTACAATACTGTGATGGTTTTTGCCATATATCAGTATGAATCAGCCACAAGTATACATGAGTTCCCCTCATTCTAACCCCCCCTCCCACCTCCCTCCTCACCCCATCTCTCCAGCTTGTCCCAGAGCACCGGCTTTGGGTACCCTGCCTCATGCATCGAACTTGCCCTGGTCATCTGTTTTACATATGGCTATGTACAAGTTTCAATGCTATTCTCTCGAATCATTCGAATCAAGTCTGTTCTTTACATCTGTGTCTCCTTTGCTGCCCTGCATGTAGGATCATCAGTACTGTCTTTCTAAATTCCATATATATGCATTAATATACAGCATTTGGCTTTCTCTTTCTGACGTACTTCACTCTGTATAATAGGCTCCAGGTTCATCCACCTCATTAGAACTGACTCAAATGCATCCCTTTTTATAGCTGAGTAATATTCCATTGTGTATATGTACCATGGATTCTTTACCACTGAGCCACCTGGGAAGCCAGGGATTCAATTATAAGCAGAGCTTAAAGCCCATGGAACCTATGACTCAGTACAGGGACAGATAGGAAGGAAGTTAACAATCACAAAGGGGGTGTGTGTGTGTGAATACCACCCAAGTTAAGTGTTGTGAAGGGATGGAACACAGATCTACATGAAGATTTTTTTCCCTGTTAACTATTTTATTAAGGGACATTTTTATCTTACGCAAAAGTAGGGAAAACAGAATAAACTTCAATGTATCCGTGAAGAAAATCACCTCCTGAGAAAACTTGTTTCATCTGTACCCTAGCTACTTCCCCCACAAAAACCCCAGGCATCCTATCATTTCATATGTAAATATTTCCTCAGCATCTCTAAAACAGAGTCTTTTAAACAACAGAACCACCATACCATGGGCTTCCCAGGTCATACTAATGGTGAAGAACCCTCCTGCCAATGCAGGAGACACAAGAGACACCAGTTCAATCCCTGGGTTGGGAAGATCCCCTGGAGGAGGAAATGGCAACTCACTCCAGTACTCTTGCCTGGAGAATCCCATGGACAGAGGAGCCTGGTGGGCTACAGTCCATGCGGTCAGACAGGACTGAAGCAACTGAACATGTGTGTGCTGTCCAGTTGCAGTGTGCAGGTTTCTCACTCCAGTGGCTTCTCCTGTTGCCGAACACTGAGTCTAGAGGTCACGGACTCAGTAGTGGTGGCGCAGGGGCTTAGTTGCCCTATGGCGTGTGGGATCTTCCCAGACCACGGATTGAACCCATGTCCCCGGCATTGGCAAGTGGATTCTTAACCACTGGACCACTAGGGAATTTCTCTGTGAGAGCGTCTAACAAAGGGAGCTGACCTTGACCAGAGTTCAGCAGAGATGGGAAGGATGCATGGATGACTGGTAGAGGGAGAGCAGACTAGAGCGCCGGACAGAGGGAACAGCATATTCTAAGGCCTCTGACAGAAGAATATGGAAAATTCAAAGAAGGACAGTCAAGTTGGAACCCTGTTAGTACAGGGTTGGAGGCCAGGGTGGTCTGAGATGAAGTTGGAAAGGGGTGCAGTGGTGTTTGGGGGGCAGATCATCAGAGAGGGCCTTGTGAGGAGCAGGGCAGTGGGGAGCAGTTGAAATTTTCATCAGAGCAAGGAGACTACTGCTGGAGGATTTTAGCAAGAGAGTAAGATGCCTGCAATGCAGAAGACCCAGGTTCCATCCCTGGGTCGGGAAGATCTTCTGGAGAAGGGAATGGAGAATACCCACTGGAGAATACCCACTCTAGTATTCTTCCCTGGGAAATCCCATGGACAGAGGAGCCTGGTGGGCTGTAGTCTATCAGGGTCACAAAGAGTCAGACACAATAGAGCGACTAACACTTGAAAAATATTTCTCTAGGGACTTCCCTGGGGGTCCAGTGGTTAGGGCTGCACACTTTCACTGCAGGAGGCACGGGTTTGATCCCTGGTCAGGGAACTAAGATCCCACAAGCCTTGAGGAATGGCCAAAAAATAAAAATACAATTTTTTAAAAAAGAAAGATAACTAAATAAATAAAAATAAAAAAGAAAGAAAAATCTTACTCTGGTTATGGTGTAGGCACTGACCAGAGGGGTGGGGGCAACAGTGGATGAGGGAGGCCAGGTAGGAGGCAGCAAAGAACTGCCAGGCACCCAGAAGTGATGCTGGTATGGCCTGAGTAAATGGCATGCCGCACTGTCCTTACAGCAGCCCCATTTTACAGATAAGAAAGCTGAGACTCAGTGAGGTGAGTGGCTCGCCCAGGGCCTCAATGGTGTGTCTGGCACATGGCAGGTAGCCGGAGCTGCTGTCATTATGACAAACACCAGCACTTTCTCTTGGCTGTCCAGGTGCTTTGGGGCCTGGCAGCGTTTCGTGCAAAGAGGGACCCGGTACCGGGCCCATGTGGCCAACCGCCAGGCAGGGACCCTGAGGACGTGCTTGCAACAGTGGGTGCAGATGAAGCAGCTCCGGGCGTCAGATGGAGCGAAGGTGGCCCAGCTGTCTCTTTGTTGGCAGAAGGCAGGTGAGTGAGCAGCTGGCCAAAGGGCTTCCCCTCCCCCCACCCAGCAAACAGCGCCACTTCAGCTCCTTCTGCAGTTGACCTGGTTGACTTATGGATTCTCGGGATGGGAGGAGATGAGACTGGGAGCTTTCCCAAGGGTGCAGCCTGGCAGACCTGGGAGGGTCCCTGGAGCAGCAGGCCTTGGTGGGCCCCATCCTGGCCGCTGTCATGAGCTCCTCTAGGCAAGAGACCCGTTCCATCCTCCACCTGGAAGGAGTATGTAGCCCCTACTCCTGGGAAGCCCCGAATCTAAGGGGGACGCACAGCCCCTGCACCTGAGACCAAATAGGATCTTTGAGGTGTCCTGATGGGGGAGGGTTTGGAGGTGGTGGCAGGAGGCAGTGCCCATGAGGAGAGGGGTCCTAAGGGGCTGAGGCAGTGACCACCAATGGCTTGGAGCAGAGAGAGGTCACTGATTCATCTCTTGTCTACTTCTCAGGGAACGTGGCCCACTTCAGCTCAGTCCCTGGAGGGGCCACAGTGCATGGGCTGAGGCTGATGGCCACGGCGCGGGTGCTGCCCCAGGAGCAAGGCTGGGGCTCCCTGCAGGAAGCCTGCTGGAGGCTGGCCCTCCAGCGGGTGCTGCTGCTCTGGAGGACGCGGCTGTCCCAGCGCCAGCGGGCGGAGTAGGTGACCACAAGCTTGTGACCTGGGGTAGGGTCTGGGGGAACCTAGGGTGGGCATGTGAGCAGTGCTCAGCACAGGATGGAGCATTCCATATGGAACAGGGGGCATCCTGCTCCTCCCTGTGGTCTCAGCCTGGGGCCTGGCACCCCGCGGTGCCCAGCGGGTGTGGGGCTGTGGGAGGTGGCCCAGGGACACTGAGACAGTGACTGAGCAGAGAGCTGGTGGCGGGGGGTGGGGAGGGTGGGCAAGGCGCGCCAGGGGCACAAACGTGGAATCCTACCAGGATGGCCGGAACCTGACGGGAGGTTGGTTTAATGCTCAACTCCCTCCTCAGAACCTGAACCCACCTCTCACCCATCTCCTGGTTAAGTGGGAAACCATGTCTGTCTCCTCACCAATGCCTCCCAGTATTTTGCAGGTACCTGGACCGCCTGTGTGCACAGGGTAGATACTCTAAATGAATAAAAGCGAGCCACTTTTCCCTGCCCCCAGTTGCCTTACTGGGGCTTCCCAGGTGGCTCAGTGGTTAAGAATCTGCCTGCCAATGCAGGAGATGCAGATTTGATCCCTGGGTTGGGAAGATCCCCTAAAGTAGAAGATGGCAACTCACTGCAGTACTCTTGCTTGGAGAATCCCATGGACAGAGGAACCTGGTGGGCTACAGTCCATGGGGTCAAAAAGAGTTGGACATGACTGAGCGACCAACACACAACACAATCACTTTATTACACAGCTAGAGAAACTGAGGCTCAGAGGGGTTGAGCACCGTGCTCTAAATCACACTGTGAATCTTTAGCAAGAAAGTCCCTATAGTGAGACCTTAATGATGCTTTTATACAAGACAGGATGCTGGGATTCAGGGCCCAGGCTGATGGTTGTGGGTGAGGGGGCTGGTGGAGGTCAGGAGGGGTCAGCTTCACTAATGGGATGTCAGGAAGAATGAAAACTAGCAGCTGCAGGGTTAAGAATCCTGTCCTTAAAAGCTATACACCTGGCATCCACCAGCCCCACACCCACTTGGTCCACTTGGACCCTCAAGTCTCTTTTAATGCTGGAACTCCAGGGAAACTCAATTCACCATGATTCTTCAGAATGCAAACCTCCCTCTGCCAGGCTATCCTCTGGCATTTTGGTACCAGGGCACAGTCCATATCTCCCTGCAACATATCTGGGGTCCCCTGTAGCCTGAGACCAGTGCTAGGATCCCAGGTCTACCACTGTTTGAAGTTTGAGGAAATGACCTTTCCTCAAGCCTCCATTTCCCTACCTTTGTAACCAAGTGGAGGCAGAAATACTGGTGTGGGCTCTTGAGTCTTGGGTCTGTGGGCCTGGGCCCGGCTCCACCCCCCATCAACTGCATGCCCTCCACTCCCCACCCGGGGAGTGTAGTGAGAATCAAGCAGGGGATCACGGCAGATAGAGCTGTGCTCTCGGCCTCAGCTGCTCATGAAGGTCACCCTGGGACTTTGGGAAGCCCAGGCAGCACCCAGACCATTAAAGCAGAATCTTCAGGGGTGGGGCCCCAGTGGACCCCAGTGCACATTGGTATCTTTTAGAGCCCCGGGTGGTCCCAGTATGCAGCCAATCTGGTGGTGCCCAGCTCTGCGCCTTTCCAGCACCCCCAGCCACGGGTGAGGTGCGACCCCAGCACTCCCCTGCCCCCTCCTGTAGCTCCTTCTTCAAGGGCATGCAGTGGCGGGCACTGCGGCAAATCCTGAGGGACTGGCGCCTGAGAGCACGAGATGCAGGCAGCGCCAGGATCACCTCAGCCCCAGATCCGCTGGGCGGCACCCTGGGAGGGGAGGCCCCGCCAGGCCACAGTACACACCGGAGAAGCTCCTGGGACAAGGTGAGGGGCAGAGGGTGGGGAGGAGGGTGGGGGAGGAGACAGTGGGAAACCAGGGCACCCAGGACCCCACACCTCCTTCCCCAGGCTTCCAGGGCCCCTGCCCTCCTGGAGATGCTCCGGTTGAGCTTTCTGTGGGCAGCAGGTCGGCGACAGCAGGGGCAATGCCTTCTGCTCTGGCGGGCACGGGCCCAGCAGTCCAGGGACACAGCGAGGTGGCACCAGAGCAAGCTTCAGAGGCGGTAGGGACCCCTCCCAGGACAGGGGAGCCGTGCTGGCCACCCCCGCTGTGGATTTACTGTTTCCCAGAAATCCTTGACTTTCCATCTGCATCCCCTTGGGGTCTGCATCCCAGAGGGCCCCCCTCACTCCCCAGGCTCTGCTACTGCCCTCTATCCTGCCCTGCTGTGAACCATGAGGGTGAGGGTGGGGACCATGTGAGGCAGGTTATTCATTTCTCCCAGAAGTTTCATGGCTGTGGTCATCTCAGCTTTGCCCCACACCGGCTGTGTGATCTCGGGCAAGTTGCTTAACCTCTCTGTGCCTCTATCTCCCCATTTGTATGGGGCTCATACTAGGGCTCTCACTGGTGGGACTCAATGAGGTAGGGGCACGCACATCCCCTAGCAAGCACAGTGCCTGGCATTAGCAAACACTCAGTTCATAGCGTTGTTCATCACAGCAGTTGGCATTGGGGGTCTGGGGTCCCATTGTATCCTGACCACCGGTCAGTATGACCCTCTGGGTAGTGTTGAAGCCCTCCAGCCCCCAGCAACCCCTCCTCCTCCATGACGGAGACAGGAGGAAGGGTCACCCAAGCCCCTCCTTGCTGCTGAGGGGAGGGGAGGGCAGGGCCAGGCTGGCAGTGACCACCTGAGGGTGGACACTCCCCTTCCCAGCATCCTCCTTGACTGGAGCCACTGGGCAATAGCCCAAGGGGCCCGGAGAGAGCTGGCTGCCCGCTGGGCCTGGGATCGGAGGGGCAGGGCCGCCCTGGGCCTGTGGCGGCAGCGGCTGGTACAGCGGCGGGAGGTGGAATGGCGGGCCCGGGAACGGGGCCGGAGACTGCAGCGACGTGCCCTGGGCCACTGGCACTGCTACTGGCAGAGTGAGTCGGGGACTGGGACGGGGCACCAGGGGTGAGGGAGGGGTCAAGGTCCGGCAGGGACATCCAGGATTCAGGTCCTCTAGCACAGAGTCCAATATTGGACTGGGTGACAGGTTGGGACCGGGGTAGGGGGGCAGGGTGTGGTGTGTGTGTGTGGATGCTGTATGCTTCCATTGCCTGATTGTATGGACTTTAAACAAGCTACTTAGCCGTAGTCTCAGCTTATTCATCCATAAAATGGGGACAACAATGGTACCCACCTGCTAGGGTGGTGTAGGGATTCTATGAGACAATCCACATGAAGTGCTTGGCTCAGAACCCAGCTCCTTGTGGGTGTTACCATCATCATCACCATCTTCACCCTCATCATCCTCACCTGGCCTTTAGGAGTCAGGGGGTCCTCAGAGCTCAGCACAGAAGGCAGGGGTCAGTGGGGCCATTTTAGAGGCTTCTTATTCCTCCAGTGTCATATCAGTGGGCTGGCAGGTGGGGACTTGGCTGTTCAGAAAGTTTGTGTCCTGTCCACTGGGGACAGCGGCTCCCCTGACTCAATTGTTGCTCAGGGATATTGACCTAGTGTTGCCAGACCTTTGTTTTTACAGAAAAGCTGGAAATCTATATTTTTGTGTGAGCTCTCCTGATTCCTAAACATCATCAAGAAATTAAAAAGGAACTCTATGAGTTGATTGGCTTAGTCACCAGTAGAGCACCTGTAATGGAAGTATTTTAACCCAGTTAGCCGTTCCCGCTTGGGTAGAGGGTCGAGGCTAGCAGAGCAGGGGCCCATGGTTCCCCAAGGCCCAGGCTGAGGCTGGAATGAGCACTCAGAGGCACCTCAGCATCTCTCTGGCCATAGGACAGGTGTTCCTGCAGGAGAAGTGCCAGCGGTGGGTGCAGGCCCGCCTCCAGGGCCTGCGGAGGGCCGTATTCTGGGGCTGGCAGCAGGCGGCAGCTCGCCGGAGACCCGCGGCGGCCAGTCCAGAGCAGCTCCTAATGCAGAGGTGGGTGGGCCTGGGGGTGGGAGCGCGAGGGTCATCCCCACCCCAGAAGCAGCAGGGAGAGCGCCCAGGGATGGGAGGCTGGGTGGCCTCTGCAACTCGAGACAGGCCAGGCTGGAGACCTGGCATCCAGGCAACAGGGGCCTGAAGGGAGACCCCAGCCTGGAGTCAGAGCCACCAAGCTTCCATTCTCCATGTTGCTCAGGAGGTGGGGGATAGTAAGCCCCTAACCCCTCCCAATGCCCTGACAAGCCCTGGGTCTCCACCTCCTGGCTGGGTCAGCCCTTTGGTTTCAAAGCTCACAGCTAAGATGGGGAAATCACCTCCTCAAACAGCCACCGGAACGTGTGTTCCAACTCCATGTCTTGTTTAATGAATCACAGCACAGAATTCCATAGACAGTCAAAGAAGAGAGTGAAATCTGAAATAGAGATGGTCTAGTGACACACGTATACAGATCATAGATGCATGTGGGTTTTTAAAAAATTATTATCTTTGGCCACACCCCACAGCCTGTGGGATCTTAGTTCCCTAACAAGGGATTGAACCCTGGGCCCTCGACAATGAAAGCATGGAGTTCTAACCACTGGACCACCAGGGAATTACCTGGATGCATATTTAAAAGCAGAAGGGGCAGATCACGTTTTCTCCCAGGGTTGGTTCTACAAACTCACAGGCGTTCTCAGTGCCCCCACAGGGGCAGTGAACTATTCACTGCAGAGTAGCTGATGTTCTCTTGGCCCCTCTGACCACAGTCCCCTCACTGACCTCCAGCCCTAGAGCTGCCGTGTGAGGGCAGACAGGGTGTGGCTGTTCCCCTGATGTAGGGGGCCTGGACCCACACCACCAGGCTCCCACACCACCCCAGGCAGCCTGCCCTCAGCAGCCAGGGTGCGCGCCTGCCAAGGCCTCTAAATGAAAGCCAGGGCTTTCACCTGTCACACATCAGCCCACACTTTTTTTTTTTAAGAGATTTTTTTTGTTTTGGCCATGCTGCACAGCATCACTTGTGGGATCTTAGTTCCCTAACTAGGGATCGAACCCAAGCCCCCTGCAGTGGGTGGAAGGCACAGTCTTAACCACTGGACCTTCATGGAAGTCTGGTCCAGATGTTCTTAAGGCACCGAGGCTGTGTATACAAAACTGTGTATAACCTGTGATGGTTTGTGGACAATTTTTGGGTGTAGCTTTGAACACCTGGACTGGCATGCTGCAGTCCATAGGGTTGCAAAGAGTTGAACACAACTGATCAACTGAACTGAACTTTGAATAAATGAGACTTCTGACTGGGAAGCCACCTAGGCCGCTCCTCTGCCTCTGTTCTGCAGACACTTCCAGGCCTGGTGTGGAGTCGTGAAAGCCTCCTGGGCCGAGCGTCCAGCCTTCCAAGATGGTCTGAGGAGACGGATACCCGGGGCCACATTTGCCAGTGAGGCCCAAGCGGCCACAGCCCAGCCTCGGGAGCTGTGTGTGGCCCGAGCCTCCTGCTGGAGAAGCCAAGAGCAGGGCTGCCAGGCAGACAGGCAGCTGAGGAGGACCTGGGCCCAGCAGGCCTTCGTTGCAAGGCAAGTGGCCCTGGGCCAGTGTTGCAAGGCCCATCGGCAGGCAGGAGAGAGCTCCAGGGCCCAGGCCCTTTGCTGGATGCTGTGGGCACGTGAGTCCTGCCAGCACCGAGTCCTTCGAGACCATGCTGTCCCGACTCTGAGCGCCAGGTGGGTGCCCTCAGCCTGAGGTCAGTCCCGTACTGTGTGGGGCCAGCTTGGGCCTTGAACTTGTTTAGGGTCAGGGTGCAGAGTATTTGGTGGCTAGTGGCGGGGCTCTGGGGGCTGGGGGTGATGGGAGAGAACATCCTGGTCATTGCAGCTAGTCCTGGGGTCGAATGCCAGCTCTGTATTCTCCAGCCACGCCACCCACTCCTTGGGCAAATCTGACTTTGAAAGTCAGAGGAAGATAACAGGCCTGCCTTGTGGGTGGCCTCAGGGTTTCCGTGGGCAAGCTCTCAGCTCAGCTCGGGCCAGACGCACACCAGGTGCTGAAAATATAAAGCAGTGCTTCTGGGGGGATGGGAATGAAGGAGCAGTTGGCAGGCCTGCTTTCTCTCTGTCCCCATGTGTCATATTCTGCCACTCCCCGAGCCCACTGGAACCTGATTTCAACAGAAGAGGGATGAGGGAGGGGAGCACGGGCATGGGGCTTTGCCTGGACCTGCTGGAGAGTCCTGGCCCTGGTGACTTCAGTGTGGGCTCCTCCCTCCCCCCAGGATCCTAGAGACCTGGACCCAATCAGCAACTCGGGGCCACGTCCAGCAAACTGCCATCACCCACTTCCAGCAGGCTGGGCCCAGGCGCTTCCTTCGAACCCACTGGGCCCAGTGGCGGACAGCGCTGCTCAGAGTGTGGCTAGAACCACAGGCCTACGAGGCCAGCTCAGCCCACCTGGCCAGGCCCAGGGCCAGCCTCCGACGCTGGCGTGGGCTGGCCGCCAGAGGGCGTCTCCTGGTGCTGATGAACCCTCCAGCCCTGAAGAGGCAGGTGAGGCCGGGCCCAGGTGGGGTGGGAGGTCCCAAATGACCTGCGGGCCAGTGGCCTCAGAATCAGCTTGATTCAGCACAAGCGACAAGGGTGGCTAGATGCTTCTCCAGGATCCCAGTGGCCTTGTGGACACCACCCCTATGGGTTCTCAGCCTCCCTCTGGTCTGGCAGTCAGCAAACATTTACTGAGCACCTGCTGAGTGCCAGGCCAGTGTGTCTACTACAGACACACACCCTGGGTGGCAACTGTTAAGGAGCAGACACCTAAACTCCCAAGTCAAGGTGCAGCCTAGGATCAAGATAGGTGATTGGATTCAGCAGAAATGGTGACAAAGAGCTGGGTGGCCTACCAGGAGGGGAGAAGCCATAATGAGTGCGTCACTTCAGGCACAAGGAGTGACGCTGCACAGCAGTCTAGGGAGACATCATCGCGGGACACACAGTGTTCCTCCAGATAACTGGCAGCATCAAGAATCCTGTTTTAGGATGCCAGGAAGCATGTCATAACCTCTAGGAAGGTTCTAAGAAAAAAGATTCAAGTTGTTTATTTTAAATGGAATTGAAAGGGACTAGCTCCAGACATCCTGGAATGTGAAGTCAAGTGGGCCTTAGAAAGCATGACTACAAACAAACCTAGTGGATGTGATGGAATTCCAGTTGAGCTATTTCAAATCCTAAAAGATGATGCTGTGAAAGTGCTGCACTCAATATGCCAGCAAATTTGGAAAACTCAGCAGTGGTCAAAGGACTGGAAAAGGTCAATTTTCATTCCAATCCCAAAGAAAGACAATGCCAAAGAATGCTCAAACTACTGCACAATTGTACTCATCTCACACACTAATAAAATAATGCTCAAAATTCTCCAAGCCAGGCTTCAGCAACACATGAACCGTGAACTTCCAGATGTTCGAGCTGGTTTTAGAAAAGGCCGAGGAACCAGAGATCAAATTGCCAATACCCGCTGGATGATCAAAAAAGCAAGAGTTCCAGAAAAACATCTATTTCTGCTTTATTGACTACCCCAAAGCCTTTGACTGTGTGGATCACAATAAACTGTGGAAAATTCTGAAAGAGATGGGAATACCAGACCACCTGACCTGCCTCTTGAGAAACCTATATGCAGGTCAGGAAGCAACAGTTAGAACTGGACATGGAACAACAGACTGGTTCCAAATAGGAAAAGAGGTATGTCAAGGCTGTATATTGTCTCCCTGCTTATTTAACTTATATGCAGAGTACATCATGAGAAACGCTGGGCTGGAAGAAGCATAAGCTGGAATCAAGATTAGCAGGAGAAACATCAATAACCTCAGATATGCAGATGACACCACCCTTATGGCAGAAAGTGAAGAGGAACTAAAAAGCCTCTTGATAAAAGTGAAAGAGACTGAAAAAGTTGGCTTAAAGCTTAACATTCAGAAAACTAAGATCATGGCATCTGGTCCCATCACGTCACGGGAAATAGATGGGGAGACAGTGGAAACAATGTCAGACTTCATTTTTGGGGGCTCCAAAATCACTGCAGATGGTGACTGCAGCCATGAACTTCAAAGATGCTTACTCCTTGGAAGGAAAGTTATGACCAACCTAGATAGCATGTTAAAAAGCAGAGACATTACTTTGCCAACAAAGGTCTGTCTGGTCAAGGTTATGGTTTTTCCAGTGGTCATGGATGTGAGAGTTGGACTGTGAAGAAAGCTGAGAGCCAAAGAATTGATGCTTTTGAACTGTGGTGTTGGAGAAGACTCTTGAGAGTCCCTTGGACTGCAAAGAGATCCAACCAGTCCATCCTGAAGGAGATCAGTCCTAGGTATTCACTGGAAAGACTGATGCTGAAGCTGAAACTCCAGTACTTTGGCCATCTCATGTGAAGAGCTGACTCACTGGAAAAGACCCTGATGCTGGGACGGATTGGGGGCAGGAGAAGGGGATGACAGAGGATGAGATGGCTGGATGGCATCACCAACCTGATGGGCATGAGTTTGAGTAAACTCCGGGAGTTGGTGACGGACAGGGGGGCCTGGCGTGCTGAGGTTCATGGGTTCACAAAGAGTCGGACAAGACTGAGCGACTGAACTGAACTGAGCTTTGGTTACTTGCAGAATCTGCATTTTCACCTATGCGGGGCTATGGTTAATTTTCAGAATATGTTTATAAACATTTCCATTCCTGCCAGCAAAGGCAGGCAGGGATCCCGTTTACTGATGGAGCAACTGAGGCTTGTAAAAGCAAAATACAGTAAATGCCAGGAATGGTCAGTGATAACCAGGGTGAATTCCAGGCCCCCCTCTTTCTACCGCATGCACACCCGTGCCCAGGCAGCCCTCACTTAACGGGGACAGGTTTTATGCCATCTCATGGTGGCACAGGCTCCTTTAGAGAGCCCCTGCCCCCACTTGTATACAGCAGTCGCTGGGGGCTCCAGCTCTGGAGTCAGACCACTCTGGAGAGGTGGGGCCTCAAAGAAATAACTTTTATGACACTAAGTAGGGAGAGAAATGCCCACCTCACAGGCTGTACCTGACACAGGTAGGCTCTCAGTGGTAGCCATTATCGGCCCACTCACCTTCCAGTCTCCAGCCACACAGGAAGATGGGGGAAGAGGCAGGGGCATGTACCAACAGCCACATTACTCTTGGCCCTTTTCTGTCACCTCCAGAAGCCTCACAGGAGAACCTGAGGCAACATGAACTGTCCCACTTGTGTGCACACAAACAGGAAGTCTCCTGACTGGTTGGGGCAGGACAGAAAAGGAATCCTGCCAGGTCACCTGGGCTCAGGTTTTTCTCTTTGTTCCTTCAGACCCGCAGCTGCAGGCCATGGGCCATGGGGCCCAGCCCAACCCAGCACCGCAGCCCCAGTGGACGGATGCGGGGAGAAGTGTCCTGGGCTCAGAGTAAGGAGACCCTCCCTCTGGGGATAAACAAGGTCTGAAGTGCAGCGGTGAGTCGGTTACCAGCCCTCACAGGCCTGGAAATCAGCATCGAGCCCTCTGCGAACCTGTCTTATGTATTTACTGTTTTCCCCAAGCATCTCCCCTTTTGGAACATTTCCCAGTGTTGGGAAAACAATTACAATTTCTCCCGCCCCAACCATTTCCTCCTCTTTGGGCCACAGGAGACTTGGGCAGCTGTGGTGGAAGCAGGGACACTGGCTTCATTCGCTCAACACCATTTCTTGTGCACCCTTCTCTTACAGTTCAACCTCCAGAAGCACCGGAACGAGTAAGTCTGCTCCCCTCAGTGATGTGTTAAACTTGTCCAACTCCCCTTTCCAAGTGACAGCCAGCCTCCTCTCTGCCCCACCTCCCAGCTCCAGCTGCAGGGGCCCGGGTGTGCCTGCTGGGCCCCAGGCCAGCGCCCTGTGGGGCCAAGAGGGGACTGCAGCTCCGAGATCAGAGACCTCGAGGGCAAGAAAAGGCATCTGGGGTAAGAACGAAGGGTGTGCATAGAGCGGGAAAGGTGAGCATGGGGGCTGGGCCAAGGGGTTTGCCTGACCCATGGCTAGACCTGGGCCCCCCCGGCCAGTGCTCGTCCCACAGGATCCCAGGGGTGCAGGCCCAGGCCTGGGGCTCTGCCCTTTATCCTGACCATGAAGTAGTCATAATGGCCATCAGGACCTACCAGGGCCTCTCCCCTCAGGAGGAAATACCTGCAGTGCTGGCGACTTGAGGCCCGGCTGCGCCGGCTGCAGAGCTCCCAGCAGGCCAGGCTCCGGGCAGCCATGTGGCAGCGCTGGGTAGATGCTCAGGGGGCAGAGAGGCTGGCATGGACACTCGTGAGTGGGGGGCCCCTTCCCAACCTCACGCTGATCGCCCACCCCGTCCCTTTCCCAGCCCTAACCCCTGGACACGCTGTCTCTCCAAGTTTGGTCTTTGAACCTACCAAGCCTGAAACCTTGGGAACAGCCCAGGGACCTGCACTGTTAGCACATCTCAGATGACATCTCCTTGTCACAACCCCGTCCCCCCCCCACCCCGTCCCCCAACCGGGGCTTTTGGCCTGGGACAAAGGGAAGGGCCCCCTCTCCCCTCAGGGGTGCAGGTGGGGAGAGGCAGCGGAGGGGCTGGGGGCTGCCAGGGACAGCGGTGGGCCCAGCTCGGGGCCTCCTTGTGACTGTCCCTACAGCTCAGGCAGTGGCACCTGAGATGGGCCTGGCGACTGTGGCGGGGGCGCATCCTGCAGTTACAGGTGGCTCAGCGGTTACAGCGACAGGAGGACGGCTGGGTCCTTTCCCAGGTACCGGCAGGCTGCCCCATCCCCAGCAAGCCCTTCCCAACAGGGCCACACCTGCGCATTCCCGAGCTGCGCCCTCCCTGGTGGCTGTCCTCAGAGACTCTCCGTTTCAGGGAGGGGTCAATTCAGAGAAAACAACCTGGATTCCTTAATTCAGCTGGTGACCAAGGGCTCCGCCCAGTCCTACAGTCACTGGTTGGAGACTAGGCTTGGCTCATGATACAGCTGTTGTTCACACTAGCTGGTGATGGCTGTGGGTTGCTGAGCGTCACCCCTTCCTGACATGCACTCAGAGCCCAGCTTCCCTGGTCACAAATCACATGTATCCTGAGCTGGGGCTTTTGGCCTGGGGCAGAGGGAAGGGCCCCCTCTTCCTTCAGGGACAGAAGGCTCTGGGCCCAGTACTGACCACACAGACCTGGAAGGGAGCCAAAGAGCTCCTCCCTCCCTGATTCCAGGCCTTTAACAAGTGGCACCAGTGTCTGGCAGCCAGGGGCGTTGAGGGCCAGAGCCAGCAGCAGCATGAGGCCCTGGAGCAAGACAGGCCTCAGGAGGCCTGGAAGCAGGCCGGAAGCTGCCAGAGCCCCAGCACTGGGTGGACCTGGGGCGGAGAAGGGGGCCCAGCTGCAGCTGTGACATGCTCTCATGGAAAGGAAAACAAATCGGAGCTCCACCCATCTGCGGAGTGCAGGCTCAGGCCACAGAGCGCCCAGGCCAAGAGCTCTGAAGGACAATAAAACGCCCTCCTTAACTCCAGCTGCTTCTCTGTAACTCCTAAAGGGTGCCCGCCCCCACCAGCCAGCCCGTGATCCATTTCCTCTGCCATCAGGCTGCTCTGTGGACACGCGCCCCTCTCTCCTGCCCCTGAGCTGGTGAAGACTCACAAGAGGGACTGGGACAGGGACCAGCCTGTGTGCTTGTGTCACAAGCTCCCCTGGACAGCGGGGAGCAGTGCCAGGCAGACAGCTTCCTGGACAGCGTGCTCCGAGGGGAGGAAGCAGCTGGCAGGAGGAGGGGCTTCTGCCTGAAAAATAAGCCAGGAAGAAATCAGTCGGGCTCAGCCAACCTCATCTTCACCCTTGATGGTAACAGGCAGGATATTCTTTCACCCTTCAGGGCCAGGGGAGAAATGGGAAGGCCAAGGGTACAGGGGTTCAGACACCATTAAGCCTTTAGAGGCAGTTTGTTGATTCATGGGGTTAAGTCTTTCAAACAGCAGCACCGTAGAAAGGGGAGAAACCCAGTTGAGCTCTCTGCTAAAACGAGGCCAAAACTATTAGGTTTCAGTCCAAGGTCGTCCAGGGGCCACTGCCTGATGGGGCAGTTGGCAGGCGGGGCAGTGGCTGCCTCTTCATTCCCAAATGGGTGGCACGTGGCTGCCAATGCCTTGGAGGTGGAAGGGTGAGGCGCTATGACCTTGCCATGTCTCCTTTGCAGTCCCACAGGACCTGCTGCAATGTTCACTTTGCCTGTTCTCCTGGTGCCCCAGGAGCAAGGTCACTGGCAGTCCCAGGCTGGCCCCAAGGGGCTCCGTTATCAACAGCCCTTCTTGGGGTGGACAGTGTTCTGCCCATGGGGTCCTTGTGGAAGGGGCTGCTCCCCACCAGAGCACAGACTCTCAGCTGAGCAGGAACACCAGGTTCCTGTGTGGGGCAGACTCAAGTCCAGCCAGAGCCTCAGAGCCTCACACCAGTCTAGCTGCCATCATTGTATCAGAGGGTGGAGGCCAAGGCTGGGGAGAAACAAAGAAGAATAGGGGTCTCCCAGAGAGCCAGGACGGGGAAGAGGAAGGTGGGACACAGTGGCCTCAAGCCAAGGTGGTGAGGGTGCAGGGTCACGGCGCCTCTGTCTCCCTCTCATCTTGGGGGGGCCTGCTGAGAAGCTCAAACGTGTCTTCCACCACCTGCCACAGGCAGTTGTCCAGCGGAAACTCGTTGTCCACCAAGTTGACCAGGAAGTAGTTGTCATGGATGTACTGGATGATCATGCGGGAGGGGGACTCCTCCTCATACAGCTTGCCCCACTGCTCAATCCACAGCGCGAAGGCCTCATCCTACACGTGAGCACATGCGAGCACACAGGCGCACACACAGACACCCACGGACATGCAGGCACACACGCACAGAGGCACAGGCACGCAGTCTCACATAGAGACGGACACACGCAGACACACACAGACGCAGGCACACACGCACAGAGGCACAGGTATGCACATTCGCACACAGAGACAGACACACACAGACACACACACAGACGCAGGCAAACATACAGGAAAGCACAGGTGCACACAATCGCACATACAGAAACACATACACACAGAGACGCAGGCACACAGAGGCACAGGTACGCACAGTCCCACATACAGAGATACACAGACACAACAACCAAGTTAACAGAGCTGCCCCTACATCGGGGCTCCATGCTCAGCACCCCAAGGGCCTCTGCTGCTGCCGAACAGGACGTTTTCCAAGAACTCAGCATAGCCCATCACCAGTGCCACCCCCCTCTCTGGGTCAGAGATAAACACCGTGAGTCAGAGTCAGGGTGCTACCAGCCCCGGGGGTGCGGCCTCCAGCCACCTACCCAGGACCTGGCGACACCGCCCGCCCAAGGCTCTGGAGGTGGGCAGGACAGGCCTGCTCCCGCCCCCTTACCTTCCAGAACATGAAGCTGACAGGGTCCACCACTGTGGGCTGGATGATCTCTCGGCCAGGGAAAATGCCCCAGGTGACCGCATTGGGCTGCAGCTCAGGGGCGTTGGTGATGTTTTCACCCTGGGGGGGGTGGGTAGGAGCAGACTTGGGGTGCAGACAGCTGCAGTCCTCTCACTTGGAGCGCGCACCCCCATTCCCCTCTCCGCCTCCCAGCTCTGCAGCTCTGTGACTAGCCACAAACCTGAAAGCCAGAAGTCATCCTGGCCTTTTCTGTCCTCCGCCCGAGGTGCCAATCAGCAACTCTTTTCAGTGGCTCTGCTCACTTCCTCTCATGTCTCACCTGGCCAGGCCTCTCTTTGCTACTTAGACCACCAGGCCTGGGGACTCTTGTCTGCCCAACCCTGTTATCCACATAGCTGTCCACTGGGATCTGCCCCCAATCAAACACAGGGCCAAGGCTACCTCTTGCCTATAAAGGAAACCTCAAATGCCAAGCAGGACAATTGAGCCCCCTGAGGACCTGGGCCTCCCTCTGACCCCATTCAGCAGTGAGGCCTTTGCACACCCTCGGCCTTTTCTCGGGATTGCCCTCTGCTCCTCGTTCTTAAAGATTCAGGTTACACAGGATCCCTCCCATCGCCTCCTCTGACCTCTCAAGTTAGACATCCCTCCCGCATCTCCAGCTTCCTCTGCTGAAGTTCACTGTTACAAAGTGCAACCGCCTGCACCCATTCATAATTATCCACTGATGGCCTCCTCACTAGGCTGGGAGCTCTAGGAGGGTGAGGCCTGGCTCTGTCTTCTAATCCACTTGGCATAATGCCTGGCCCAGTTGGGCGCTCCATGATTGCTGAATGGCAGAGTAAATGTGGTGCCCTTGGCCCTGGTGCTCTGGCCCTGCCAGGCGTCCTTTGACCCAAGGCTGGCCTACCTTCACATCCACGATGTGGTAATTCACCCGGAGCTCATACTTCTTCAGCACCTGCAGAAGCGCCTCCACCGTCTCTCGGGAAGTGAAGAACTCTAAGTAGGCCTGCAGGAAGGAGACAGGCACTGTCACGTAACCTGCTGCCCTCACTGGACACCTTCCATGGGTGCTGCTGAGCGAGCTCTGTGCTCTGAAACACTGGACGCTTGTTCTGCTGACCGTGCCGGGGAGGCACCGATGAGGACACATGTGGCAGAACACTTAAGGTGTCGGGATGAACAGTGGCCACTAGCTGGAGTTAGCAAATACATGAATAACAGGGAGGGGAGCAGGCAAGTACAGTTTCTTGGTCTTGACGGGTCTGAGGGCCATCTGGCACCCTTCCATCCAGTGGAGAAAGCGTCCACGGAGAAACCATTTCAGAAGCTGTACAAGGGGCCCAGTTTGGCAAGAGAGGCCTGTCTCCTATCCCGTCTGCTGGGTGGAGGGCTTCTCCAGCACCAACTGGCCATCAGGAATTAATCTGGGTTTATTTAAACTTTGGCCACACCATACGGCATGTGGGATCTTAGGTCCCTGACTGAGGGATCTAACCCACCCACCTGCATTGGAAGTGTGGAGTCTTAATCACTGGATGCCAAGAAACTCTGAAGCTGGGTTTATTTAAATTCACTTGCTATAATACTCATAAAACTGCAAGGTGGGGGCTGTTAGCTCCATTTTACAGATGAGGAAACTTAAGTTCAGGAAAGCTAAGGAACTTGTCTGCACTGACTATACACAGCAGAGCTGGTATTCAAACGCAAGTCTTTCTACCCCCTGAGCCTTCAGGCTTTAGTTTAGAATGTAATTTTGATTCTAGCAGCCCCTGGAGAAAGGGATCCACAAGGAACAGTAATAACAGCTCCCAGTTAGGAGACGTTTCCCACGTGCTAAGCACTTTACGTGCTTTGTTGTGTTTAATTCCCAGAACACTTGACGTATCCCCATTTTATAGAAGGGAAAGCTGAGGCTCAGGGCAGCCAAGTGACCATTCTACCCAGGTCTATCCGACTCTGAGTCTGAGCTCCCGCCCACTTTGATTCACTGCTGTTCAGAATAAAAAGTCTCCGAGAGGAAGGTTGCTGTGTCCTCAGCCCTGGAGAATCCCTGCATGCAGGTCAAGGGGTGCATAGCCCTACGGATCCCTGCCACACCTTCTGGAAGACATAGCCCCCACTGGGGCCCCAGCCCACGATGGGGTCAGAGGACGGCTTCCCGTTGATGTTGGGCTGGGAGTTGATGGTGAGGATGCCCCGCCGGTTCACTCTCAGCAGCTCCTCCTTCATCAGGCTGGTCTCGGCCGCCAGGGGCTCATCATTCCAGGGCAGGCAAGTCACCTGAGGAGGGTGAGCCCGGCTGGGGCAACAACCCGACCTGGCACCCTCAGTCCCTCCCTGTTACAGTCCCCATCAGAGACCTAGCCTGTCTCTGCCTCTGCAAGCCCCTTCCAGGCACCCTGCATGGGGACCCCCTGACTCACCTCCTCCCTTGGCTGAGGTGCCACATCCAGACACAGCGACAAGGCTCAGGGTAGGGCGTCTGGCCCACAGGATGAGGGTACCTGGGGATCCCACCCCAGCTGCACTCACTTTGTAGCCGTTCTGGTTGGGCTCTCCCGAGAGGTAGTGGGCAAAGACTTGGAAGACGCTTTCCTCACTGGTCAGCTCCGCCCCCCACATCTTCAGCAGCTCTTCCTTTGGGGACTTGCTCTTTAGGTAGAAGAGGTAGTAGTCCTTCAGCTCCCCAAAGGCCGGAGAGGAGGAGTTGCCCCTGGCGGAGGAGGTGCCCTAAGTCAAGTCGCACTCCTGACCTTGGGCTCCAGACAGACAATGGCCTCCACCTGCCCTGGGGTTGGTGCATTCCTGTGAATTCTGTCCGAAGGGCTCCTCCACACTCACTCTCCCTCCTCATCCGGATAAACCCACTCACCAGCGGCCGTTGGGGAACTCGTCCCACTCCTGTGTGCGGTAAATGTAACTCTTTGGTCTCGAGGCCCAGAAGATGGGCCGGACATCCTCCTCCCGGCGCTTGGGGTGGGCGCTGAGGGCCCAGGGCAGGGGACGCCTGTGTGAGAACGTAGACAGAAAGGGTCAAGGACTGGACAGAGGGAGGGAGGGAGGCAGCACTGAGCCCACGTTCTTCCATTGAACTCAAACATCAAGCTGGACAGGCAGTTCCGGCTGAGACTGGAGCCCTGACACTAGACACTGCACAACCCTCTGAGCCCCGTGGCGGCTGGCACAGCTAGGGTGTGCACACTCTGTGACTTCTGACTTCCTGACCCACCCAACTCTCCTCTGGGGCTCCCGGGCTTGAATTCGGGGCCTTTGGCCTCACCTGGGATCCTCGATCCAAAGCCCCAGGCGCTTCAGCACCTCGATGGTGGCCACCTCGCGGTTGAGGGTGTAGAAGTGGAGGCCTGGCACCAAGCCGCTGGCCAGCAGCTCCTGGCACAGGCTCACGGCCTGCTCGATGCCATAGTTGCGGATGGCAGCGTCATTGTCTTTGATGGGCTCGATCACGTCCTTGATCTGCTGTGGCACCTCCAGTTTGGATAGCTTCACCAGCTGCCGGAGGGAGTGGTAGCCCTGCCCAAGACATGGGGTGCTGCAGGTGCCATCTCCCAGCCCGTCTCTCACCCCACATACTCATCCCCCCACCAGGTCTCCTGGCCCCTGTAGTGCGCAGGGTGACCCAGGACAGTCAGGCCATGCAGGACAGTCAGGCCATGGAGCGCAAGCACCCTTGCCTACTCCAGCTTTTTCTACTCTGCAGATTAGGGCAGCTGTCTACAACATCCCTTGGGCTTTCCTGGTGGCTCAGATGGTAAAGAATCTGCCTGCGATGAGGGAGACCCAGATTCGATCCCGGGGTTGGGAAGATCTCCTGGAAAAGGGAATGGCAACCCACTCCAGTATTCTTGCCTGGAGAATGCCATGGACAGAGGAGCTGAATGGGCTACAGTTCATGGGGTCACAAAGAGGCAGACATGACTGACCGACTAACACTTTCATACTTCATAGCATCTCAGCCACAGGCCTGAGGCAGCCCTTTGGCCCCTAGATGTATCTATTGATAGCACAGTGGTCATCTAAGCCAGTGGTTCCCAAGCCTCACCAATCACCAGAATCGTCCACCACATTTAAGAAATAATGGACAGATTCCCAGGCCCCACCTCAGATCTACTGAACCAGAACTTCAAGGTACGGGGTCTGGAAATCTAGCCTTTGAAAAAGCTCATTAAATGATTCTGATGACAGTGAAGTTTGGAAACCATTAACCAAAATTTATAATGAGAGTAATAACTCCTTGCAGCGACACTTATCGGCAAGCCCCTCCAACAGGTACTACTGCTATTTGAGAAGACATCAGGGGTCTGAAGTAGCTGGCAAGACAGCACTTTGCAAAGACTGAGCATCTATCTAATGAAAATCTAATGAATCAGAAAGAACTTGAGCCTGAACCTGGCACTTCACCCCAGGGCCCTGGCTAAGGGGGAAGTGCTAGCATGAGCAGGGGCGGTGGTGGGAGTCCATTAGCACTCCTGGGACCCTCACCTGAATAGGGAAGATGCCGGGGAGGATGGGGCAGGTAATGCCTATCTCGGAGCAAGCCTTCACAAAGTGGAAGAACGTGTCAGCCTCAAAGAACAGCTGGGTGATGATGAAGTCGGCTCCCGCAGCCACCTTCTCCTTCAGGTGCTTCAGATCGGCCTCAAAGCTCTCTGCTTCAGGGTGGCCTTTGGGGTAACCTGCCAACAGGGATACCACAGAAAGAGGCTGGCTCCACCCGCTCAAGGTGAGTGATGAAGAAACCAGAGAGCCGGCAATGGACAACTCCGGACCCATACCTTCTAGCCTCTCAGCATGGATAGGCTGAAGTGGTGATGGCTGCACTGCTTAGATGGGCCCCTCGCCCTGAAGTTGACCCTCGAGGAGAGCTGGCTTGCAGTCAGCAGCCCCCCCCCCCACAAGAGTGGGGGTGGACTGCCCTCAAATCCCCACACTGTCCTGCTTCATGGTCCATGCAATTAGTCAGGCCAAGTTGACCTGGATTTGGTGGCCACAGAAAAGAGAAAATGCTACATTCACACTGGCTGGGCAGCTTGGGAGGATGGGCTTGACTCTAGGTACCAGATGAAAACAGTGCTTTTAATTTCACATCAAAATCACTCAGTGGTGCCAGACGGCACAGCCAGAACCACGTTACACAAGGAAGAAGTGAAGAGAGTGGAGAGGTTCTGCTTGAAGAAAAGAATGGAGAGAACATGGTAATTATTCCTAAATGCCCACAGGTCTGTCACCAGGAAAACAGAGTGACCTTAGTTCCTTATTCACCATATTCTGTGCTGCTTCTGATGGTTCCGCCTGACAGTGGAAAGAGCACCCCACAAAACAACAAACTCCCAGAGTGTGAAAACATGGGGCGGGGCGGGGGGGGGGGGGGGGGCAGGACACGGATGTCCACACGCTGGGATGGTAGGGATGTCTGGGAGGTGGGGCCAGACCTCCCCAAGGCACCTCTAGCTCCAGGAATGGTACACCTCACCCCACCCCACCCCACCCCACCCCACTTCCCTAAAGGACTAAACTCCCTAGTGGCTCTACCTGCACCGAAAGACCGGAGGACCTAATGAACTACAAGCAGAGCACTGGCTTCCTCAGCCTGAGGCCAGGGCAGGACCCTAAGGCAGGAAGTGAAATTCCTGAACCCATGCTGTTGGACAGCCAGGCTGCTTTGCTGTGACAAGGCAGTTTCATTCTTAAGAAAGCACGAGTCATCAAAAATGGATAGAAGAATTACTGTTTCAGGGACAAGGGGGTGGGAGGATTAAACACCAGACTGTTACACTTTCAATAACAAGGCTATTTTTCCAGCAGGAATTTCAGAAACAGAGGTTTTAACAGCCGAAACTCTAGAAAACCTCAACAGCACCCAACAGATCCAGCAGTTGCTGATGTTCGGGTTTTGCTACATTCTTATTCTATGGTGGCCAGCTGGATGCTTTCTAATACACCCGTCTGTCCACTTCACCATGAGCAAGGCACCAAACTGCTAGGCAACGGCATGCTCACAGCTCTGCTGGTTTTAACTTGTGACCATTCAATGCCCATCGCACGTGGGCACATTCCCCAATCAACCGACTGTCTTGTGGCCCCATGAGCAAGGACACTTGGAATTCCCAATTCCTCATCAGGGTCTCCCACTCTCATCTACCTCAACACCCTATTCTGAACACTGAGAACAGTGGACCTATACACTGGGGGCCTGGGGACACAGCCCAAAGCCCCCACAAGAAGTAATTTCCTCGAAGTCACATGGCTTACTTTTTAAAATCCAGGTCACTCCGATGTTCTACTCCATAACAGAGCTGGGTTCGTTTTAGTAAGAGTGATATCATTTTCTCCAAAATATTTGAAAAAATCATCACACCAAGATGATGCGTCAAATGAATCCTTGGACTTACGGTGTGTCTGGCACACACTGCCTCATCATACTTAAGCCCCTATTCGAGAAGCTTAAAGTCCAGCCCCCAGCAGTGCAGGCAAGAGGGAAGGCCACGCCCTCTCTTTCTAGCAGGTTAACCTCACCTCCTGGCTGTAGCTAGAGAAACTAGAGTTAAAACTAGAGTTCTCTCTCCTGAGATCTGGATTTATCACTGAGGCCTGTAGATCCATCTTGGCTACACTCAGGAGCAAGCAGTGGGTCACATGTGTACCACACATATCAGAGACAGGGAAGTGTACATATTAGATCTACTGGATGAAGCATGGAGCAGTGGAAGGCAGAGATGAGGCTCTGCGGCCCCAGGGAGGATGAGGGAGGGCTGTGGATTCCAGGGCTTAGTGAGGTCTGATGCCATTTCCTGACCTTATTCTGAGATTCCCTGCCCTCGAAATCTTAATAAATATATCTCTTTTGTTTGAAGAGGGATAGAGTTGGGGAACAGGCTAATAGCAAGAAAAGGCAGAGAAACAAAACTTTACAGTATGAAGGGATATGGGGTGGGGGGAAATCATTGGTTCTGATTCATGTTCACCTTGAGTAAATAAAACCTCACTTTGAAACTGTTCATACCTCCCTAATACAGTTAAAAATAATGTGACTCTTTTCCCTTTCACAGGCAAATGTAACATCCTTTTTTCATCAGGTCAAGAACACATACATATCTTCCTTGGAAGTCTGGGTGGTTAGATTTTGGCCACCAGGAGTTGAAGAAGAAGGGGAGAGGAAGGGGGTCCCAACAGTGGGCACAGGTCTAAGAACAGAGAAGCCCTGGCCATACGACACTGGTTTATGCTACACGAACAGAGAATCACAAGTTCAGTGTTGGTACTTTTCATTCCATTGTATTCAGTTGTATAGTACTTCCAAATTCAAAATGAAAAGAAAAGCTGCTCTGCATCAAAACATCTGAGCGATGTTACATTTTAAAAATGGACAGAGGACTTCCCTGGTGGTCCAGTGGTTAAGAATCTGCCTGCCAATGCAGGGGACACAGGTTCAATCCCTGGTCTGGGAAGATCCCACATGCTGTGGGGCAACGAAGCCTGTGTGCCGCAGCTACCGAGCCCTCATGCGCTACAGCCCACGCTCCCCAACGAGAGAAGCCACTGCAGTGAGAAGCCCGAGCACCGTAACTAGAGAGTGGGCACCACTCACCGCAGCTAGAGAAAGCCCTCGTGTAGCAATGAAGACCCAGCACAGCCAAAAATAAATAAATCTTTTTAAAAAATAAAACTAGGAAAAAAAATTAAGGGATGGTGACACTCCCAGGAGCATGGTGTATGAGAGGAGGAGGAAAAGGCAGAAGATGTGGTCTGCCCAACTCACCTCTGCACCTCCATCACTCCATTCCATCACAGCACAGGCCTCCCCCCACGGTGCAGGCAGGCCCCCGTGGTGCACTGAACCTTCTGAGGTCCTCATCTGTGCCTCTCCTTCCTTCCTCTCTCAGGCCCCACCCACTGGGACACCCTAGCCCCTCACCTGCCACACAGACGTCAAAGTAGTCACCAAACTCGTTTCGGATGTGCTTCACCAAGTCCGTAGCATAGTTGAAGCCTCCTTCCTCCTCTTCCCACTGGTCACCTATGGGGTCTGCAAGGTTGGAGGGCACAGTGCTGGGTCTCACCCCACTTCCAGGAACTTCTCTGTTCCTTCTCCCCACACCCACACCCAGGGCCAACAGAATCTCGAAGGCAGAGCCTTCCTATTACTTAAGTTGGTGTCTGAGCTTTCCATTGTAGCACTTGGTAAACAGTGGGAGCGACGACAGCAGCCAAGCCAGCAAACAGTCACCAGGCACAGATGCGGGCAGCAGCTGGCAGAGAACAGCTGCCGCTCGGCATTCAGCCCGGAGCATCTGAAATCCCACCCATCTGTTCACACGTGGGTGTGTCCAGGCACCTCGCCCAAGCCCACTGCTCACTCTTCCACTCCCTGGGAACCCTTGCCTCCTGGGAGAAGCTTCTACTCATCTCAGGTGAAACGTGGTCTTTGGGGATAGGGAGCAAGAGGCCACAAGGGCCCGCCTAGCAGACTGCCACTTCCCACATTTGTGTCCCCCAATGACAGCCCGGGCCAGAGGCATAACCAGCTACTCTCACTCCTGGGACCCAGGTCAGAGCTGAACTCTGTGACTAGGTCAAAAGCCAGGAGCAGGAAGGGATCGATTCAGTGGTATACATCACAACAGAGGGTTATCAGGCACCGGCTGCAGTCCTGACTGAATTCCTACTGAGAGGTCAAGAGGTCAAAAAGTGGCTCCATCTGTGTGTCATCCATGGTCCTCTTGACCCATACCACCTACTGATGCTCCTGGCAGGGATGGGACCCAGAGAAAAAGAAAAGGACCATTGCAGGGAAAAAGAGGTCCTCCAGAAAGCAAGACCCCAGAGAGCAGGCTGCTGGCTCCACACCTCCCCTCAGCGCCAGGATGTTCTTCAGGCCCAGCTGCTTGGCTTTGTGCAGGTGGCCCGTGATCTCCTCCCGGCTCTGATGACAGCAGGTCATGTGCAGGATGGTCTCAAGGCCACAGTAGTTCACGGCGGTGCTGGCAATCACCATGGACGAGGTCTCCTTGTCGGAGCCAGGATCCCCGGCTGGGTGCCAGGTCACGTCTACAAAGAGGGGGCCACCCGCTCCCATCCGGTCAAACCTGTAGGGAATTTCTTTCTGAGGAAGGGCTCCTCGGGGTGCACCACCCGTCACCACCTTCCCATGGGGTCTTGAACTTAGAGAAGCCTCACCTGCAGGTTGGCATCAGACTGACCTGCATTCACATCCTGGCTCTGCTACTCACCAACTGTGTGATCTTGGGAGAATTACTTAAACTCTCTGCCTCAGTTTTCTCATTTCTACAATGTGGCAGGGGACACTGCCTACTTCTTAATAACACTCTGAGGACATCATAAGAGATGGCCCCACGACTCAAGAACAGTGCCGGGTACACAGTGAACAAGCAATCAATGTGCTGCTATTATGATTACACTTATTGCAAAGATAACAACAATAAAGCCATTTTCTGTGAGAGCAGCACTTTGGACTTTTCAAAGTGCTCGCGTATTTACCATCTCAGGTGAATTAAGACATTTTGAAGGATAAGGGTTCAGGGCACTCCTCAGAGTGGCAAGCAGGGCCTTATTCTAGGGAAAAAGAGGGTCAGCAAACACAAGTTTCTTCCACGCTGCCCGCCTCCACCACCCCCAGCCCCCCACCACTGCCCAGTCCTGGCAGCAGCCCAGAGTCCTGCAGAGCATGGCCACATTACCAGGACTAGTATCAAGAGCCACATGGATGCTGTGTTATAAGAGTTGTGAAAAAGAGAAAGTGTTAGTCACTCAGCTGTGTCCAACTCTTTTTTGACCCCATGAACTGTAGCCCGCCAGGCTCCTCTGTCCATGGAATTCTCCAGGCAAGAATACTGGAGCCATTCCCTTCTCCAGGGGATCTTCCTGACCCCAGGATCGAACCCGGATCTCCTGCATTGGAGGCAGATTCTCTACCATCTGAACCACCAAGGAAGCCCATTATAAGCTGTGGTGCATTTGCACATTTTTGTGCCTTCAAATTTCACAACCTTGGGAATGACACATAAGTGCAAGCAATACAAAGCATAAACTTTAAAAAAAGAACTGCAATTCATAAAGCGCTAATGCAATCCAGTTGGCATTTCTCGATTTCAAGGGCATAATCCCAAATGCCAAACTTGCTAAAAATGTTCTCCAAGCCGCTGTTTTTTAACTTTCTAAACTCTACTCCTGATCTAGCCACAAACCCCATCAAAGAATGCTGTCTGGGAGAATGAACATTCTTAACTCATGGAAGACTGTGAATAAAAATTCAACGTGCCTGGAGAGACTTTTACAGACCAGGAAGTGGCTAGCAGCATACCAAAGCATCTCTCCTGGTTTGGCTTCATTCCAGCCCTTGGAGCTACCTTTTCTCTGCTGGGTCAAAGTGCAGCCCAGTCGCAGGGCAGACAGTTCACCTGTTCACCCTGCCTCCACTCCCCAGTCTACTCCTTATCTTACACCAACTCACCTGGAGATGAGATTGACAGCGCCCTGGGCAGTTCGGGGAGGGAAGAACTCGAGGGAGAACCACTTGTCACCAGAGTCCATCCTCCGCTTCATCTTCTCCCGGAGTCTCTCGCATCGCTCGGGGTCCAACCCCGGCGTGGAGCACCTTGAACTATCCTTGGAGCTCTCGCTGCCGCTGCTGCTGCCCTCCCAGCGGGGGCCGGGGCCTCCGTTCCCTCTGGGTTCGTTCACCATGGCCGAGTTCCTGCTGCACGGGGGCGGGGGCGAGGGCAGGGGGCGTGAGACGGAGGGGCAGGTGGCCGAGCCCCAGCGTGGCAGGGTCAGGTGAGGGATGCTGCGTTTTCACGCAGGAAGGCGGCCGGTGAGGGTCTGGGTGACAAAGCCCCGACCCAGCGACTCCGCAGTAAGGACTGTCTGTGCTGCCTTGCTCCAAGCTTGGCCCTCCGCTGCTGCCTGACTCCAGGGACGTCAGCCCCCACCCGGCACATGCTCCTCAGCCCCTGGGTCCTCTGAGACCGCTACCTGATGGAGGGTGGCACTGAGAACCTTCTGCTGCCAGCCTCCGAGGCTCGCATTCCCAGGGAGGGGCAGCAGTGCCCCACTGGGAAGACCTTGGGTTTTGGACGGTCCATCTCCGCCGGGGTAAACTCAGACCCCGGACCTCAGATTTCCTGAGAAACGAAGAACCTTCCCCAGCGGGTGTGCCTGAGTGGGCGGAGCCATGACAAAGGAAGAGTTTAAAGCTGTAGCTGGGGCCAGCGCGAGGGGGCGGGCGCAAGGCTTCCAGGCGAGAGGGAGGGCTGAGGCACTAAAGTGGTCGAAGATGGATAGGAGGAGGAGGACGTGGGGTGCTGACCGCAGCGTTTAGGTGGAGATGAGGTCAACAGATGTTCAGGGCGACTGGATCACTCGCCAAAGAAGGAACAGTTTGGCCCTGGAAACATCTCCAGGGACTGGAAACAGTTTGTGTGCACGCAAGATGGAAGGGCTTAGGGCTTGACGAATCTGCCAGATTTCTCCCAAGTTTGTGATTCTCAGACAAGACCATGTCATGGGTTAGAAGTTGACATTGGCTGGGTTCCAAAAGTAGCCGGATCCAAGTTCTTTAAGGGCATGGATTTATGTCCAACTTGGAACAAAGACTGTCCAGCCTGTGCATGTCTTTCAGGCTGTTGTCCTTACACACATCAGTGAGGTCAGTTCAAGAAACTGCACAGCCACCACAGCTGAAGCCGTGAACCATGGCAACCACAGGCAGGCCAGGCTGACAAAGGGCACAGGGCCATGGGGCAGTTTGGTGGGGAACATGGGACACACTACTCATGCACCGCAAGAGTATCCAGTGTGTGGCAACGCGGAACATTAGAGGGAAAACCAGGCCAAGATCATGTGTTTCAGGGAATGCCTACTGCCAAGCCCATGTTCTTAACTAGTTTGGGGTCCTAGACTCATGAGAAACTGATGAAATCCAATGCTTCTCTACCCTAAAACATACACAAGTGTCTTTGGTACATCCAGGGTCAAGGAGTTGACTCCAGACTGTGCTTTCCATCCTGAGGGATGCCCATTTTGATTCTGACCTAAAGCTCCAGTTTCTCTGTAAGGGATGAACACGAAGTGTAAGAAAGGGGAATGTGTCAAGTATGTGTGTCAGCCAAGTATGGCCTCTCCTCTGAAAACAAGGGAGTGCATTGTTAATCATCTGCTGGACCAAAACAGGAGCAGGGGAGGAGGCCGAACCACCTACAAACTAACCGCTCCTTCGTCTGTTCATGAAGACTTCCTAGCTCTGACCGGGCACTAAACTTGCTTCACCACTTTTTCAGGTGCTACCACTTAATCCATTTTAAGCCAGGACCCCAAAGGACCCTGTTGAAGCTGGGATTCACATGTTTATCTCTCTTCTTCCCAGTTCCCTGAGACCAGGGCCAAGTATTCTACCTATGGTATCCCAATGTCTGGCATCTGGTAATAACAACTGGCACTCACTGGGCACCAACAGGCCAGGCACTGTCACACTGTTCTCAAAACAACCCTCCACCAATGGATGTGCGTGCTCACTCACTCAGTGTTCACAACTTTTTGTGACTCCATGTAGCCTGCCAGGCTCCCCTGTCCATGGGATTTCCCAGAGGAGAATACAGGATTGAGTTGTCCTTTTCTTTCCTAGAGGATCTTCGGGACCCAGGGATGGCACCGGTGTCTCCTGCCTCTCCTGCACTGGCAGGCGGACCCTTTACCACTCAGCCACCTGGGAAGCCCCTCTGCCATTTGATGAGCACTTACTTAATCGGTGCCAGGCACCTGGAACAGTGGGGAAATACTGGAGCCCGTCACTCTTAGAGGGGTCCAGGTGGGCACTTGTGTGCAGCCCGATGCAGTGGCGTCGGGGACAGCAGTGCCAGCGGCCCTCGGCTCTTCTCAAGGAGCCGCTCTGGCGAGCTGCGAACAGAATCACCGGGTCACTGGGTCACGGGCGGGGGCGGAAACCAAGGCCCAAGTCCGGTCCCAGGGCACTGGGTCACCACCCCACCTCAGAGCCGCCTCAGCCCTTAAGTCCCTCCGTCCAGGCTGGGGGCCGAAACTGAGTCTCTGCTCCAGGGCTGGGGGGGGGGTCGCAGGGCAGTCAGTGGGGGCTACTTTAGTCTCACCGAGGACGCGCGCGCAGAGAGGGCTGGCCAGCCTCCATCGCTCCCCGCCCCCCCAGCAAGAGCCCGCCCCTGGGTGGGTGGCCCCCAAGGCCCGGGTCTCCCCCGCGGGCGACGTACGCCTCGCCGTCACTCACCCTCTGGTCACGGATGACTCAGAACTCGCGGCCTCCACAGCCGTGGGGCGGCTAATGAGTGTCCGGCGGAGGGGGCGGGGCCCGGGAGGAGGCGAGGCGCGGGTGTCAGGTTGCTAAGGGAGGCGGGAGAAGAGGACGGAAACCGCCCTCTCGGACGCCCGGAAGCCCCGCCCCCAACATGGCCGCGCCCAGAAGTCTCGTTGGAAGCCGGCCCTCCGCCGTCATGTGACGCGAGCCCTCGCCCCACCCGTCTGCAGCCACTCCCCGTCTCCATCCTCAAGCTCGAGAGGGCCACGTGACACTCCCGGGACCAGTCACGTGAGGCTCGGATCCTGGGTGGGAGGGGGGTTGGCAGAGGGGTCCAGAGTGGCAGTATAGGAGGAAGATGGCGGGATGCAGGGGGTCCCTGTGCTGCTGCTGCAGGTGGTGCTGCTGCTGCGGTGACCGTGAGACCCGCACCCCGGAGGAGCTGGTAAGGAGCGGGTGGAGTCGGGCTGGGGAGGGGGCGGTTGCTAAGGGACGGCGAGAGGCGTTGCCGGGGGTGGGGCCGGGTCGAGCTAGGCCCGCAGGTGGCCGCGGGTGGGGCCGGGACTCCGCAGCCCGGGCTCTTGAAGCATCTGCCAGCCTCACGTGCCCAAGTCTGGGGTCTTTTCTCATAAGCCCTCCCTGGAATCTGAGGGAAGATCTAGGCCAGCTCCAGTCAATCTCATACACATTAATTTTTTAGTTTCCACTTAAAAGGAGTTTTGAATGAAACGAGCATTTCAGAATGAGCCCCTTTACTGGACTTTACATATCATGCCGCTGGCTTAGTTTTTCCAGCGCTTTGTCACTGTATCCTTCACCCTTTCTGGGTCACTAATAATCCAGCTTCCCTCTGCAAAGCACCCTGGGAAAACTTGAGTTGTGTCCTCAGAGTTGACAAGTCTCTCCTGATGTAAGACTCCACGTGTTGTCAGAAGGAACCTGAAGTCTTTCCCCCTTAAGCTGGCAGGTGACATCTTTGAAGTGTCCTGAAGATGAGTGGTGATTTGAAGAATGTATGGTAGGAATGAAGAGCTCAGCCGATGACTGTATATACCCTCACCACATCACCCCCATCCCAAAATGTTTTTTTGTTTGTTTGTTTCTTTGTTTTAGGTGTTCCCATTTGATGATAATGGCTACAGAGGATTTAGAAATTAGTAGCTGGTTTCAGTAAATACTTCTGCCCCTTTCCACTTTTAAAACCATTGAAAGGGTCTCCCTTCTCTGGATTTGTTTTTCTAGACCATTCTTGGAGAAACACAGGAGGAGGAGGATGAGATCCTTCCAAGAAAAGACTATGAGGTAAGATTCTTAGATGCTGTCTTGGGTAACAGAAGGAGTGAGTGTCCAGCTCACTTCAGACTGAAGCATTAGGATTCCAACCAGAGATGCTCTATGACTTTCTCTCCCTGGGAGTGAGTGGGTAAGAGATAACTTCTTTGTCAGAAGGGGCTGTTTAAGAAGCCCTTTTCTCACCTTAGCCTCAAAGCAGGGTCTAAGTGTGTCTCCAGGCTTTCATAGATCTATTGTACCTTAACCTGGTTAGAGCATGTGTTTGCTGTTAGACTGTTTGCTTTTGTAACTTGTAGAGACCCAGAGTCAAAGCCACTGACAGCGTTTGCTTGTAAACACGTGTGAGCCAGGAAGCCTTGCTTTTCTTCTAAGAGAACTGAGTTTTCAGGTGATTGTTTGCTGCCCAAGCAGCTTCTCTTGGAATTGTCAGTTCTTGGTTATAGTTTTTGACTTCATGCTCAGGACTTAGAGAGAGAGAGAGAGAGAGAGAGAGAGAGAGAGTGAGTGTGTGTGTGTGTGTGTGTGTGTGTGTGTTTTGTGTGGTGGGGAGCAGTAAGGCCAGTACTGCTAGAGCTGACTGTAGTCAGCTTATAGTGACATTTCTGTGACTTTTGAAATGACAAAAACAAGACATGGTTGTGATAGAGGATTTTCATATGATTTGCAAAAAGAAGCTAGGGAAAAATCTACAGTCCTATTCATGGAAAGATGACTATTCATTTTACTAAACGTCCTTTTCTGTGCCTTCTTTTAAGTAACAAAGTGAAATTCTACTAAATACACTATTTTAACATGATTTTCCCTCCCAGTTGATAACAAATTTTTGTATCAATGGATACTTTTCTATAATACATTTTTAAATGGGGAAATAGTATTTCATTATTTATGAAATAAGATAATATTTTTTATCTGACTTTTCTATGTTATGAATTGCATGGTGGTGACCATCCGTTCTTGTTTATCTTTAATTGCTTTCTTAGAACTAATTCCCAAAGTGAGATTAATCGTGTCTGTACTTAATGACTTTAAAAAAAAATACCAGGTACTTAAAAAATTCAATATTCTAGAGCAGTAACATACCCAGACTAATTTTCTAATATTTTATCTATTCTTGCTGTAGAATTTAGTGTATCTATTATGATTTGTAGTTTCTCATGGGACTTTTTTTCTTCTAAGTTCCATGAGAAGCTACAAATCATAAATGTAGACAAAATGGGCAGAATAGTACACTGAAACCCCCTGTACTCATCAGACAGCATCGTTCAGTTATGCCTAACCTTGTTTCATGTGTGTACCCGTGCACTTCCCCCTTCCCATATTATCTTGAAAGAAAGTCTGTACATCATATCATTTCACCCATAAATAATTAAGTTCAACTCTTTAGTGGATAAAGACACTTTTTTTCCTACCATAAGCCAATGCCATTTTCACACCTAAGGAATTTCACAATAATTCCTTGATATCAAACAACCAGTGTTTGGATTTTCCAGTTCTCTTATAAATGTCATAAGTACTTTTTCATAGTTTGTTTGAATTGGGTTCCAAATAAAGTCCTAATGTTGCACTTGTTTGATACATCTTTTAAGTCAGATAGGTTTGAGATGAAGTAGATTCCACCTTCATCTTTGTTTTGTTTCATCTTTTTTTTCCCCTTGCAATTGACTCAACAAAATAATTTTAAGAGTCTAAAATTTGCTAGCTGTACCGCAGTGGTATAATGTGCTACTCTGATGTGAGTGCTTTTAATCAATCAAAAAGCACTATATCCAATGATGTATTGTCTCATATTTCTTTTTAAAAATAATTTATTTTATTTATTTGGCTGCACCAGGTCTTAGTTGCGGCAGGCAGGACCTTGGATCTTTGTCAAGGCATGCACACTCTTAATTGCAGCATGCGGGATCTAGTTTCCTGACCAGGGATGGAACCTGGTCCCCCTGCTTTGGAAGCATGGAGTCTTAGTCCCTGGACCATCAGGGAAGTCCCATAACTCTTAAATATGTGTTTGCTTGTACACAGTAGAAAGATTTGCAAGAATTAGCATGACGATCCATATCGTGCTGTCACTTTGCCATCCCTCCTTCAACCTGGTGATATCATTCTGATGGTTACAATTGACACTGTCTCAGCTTTTATCCTCCTCCTGGGATCTCAACACTGCGTGTCTGCTCCATTGATCTTCTGTTTCCTTCACTCTTTTTGCTAAATTGCACTTACATCAGTAATGTATTTCCTCTCACCTGATACGCATATTTGTGTAAATTTTATGGGTTAATGTTCTTTTGTGTGAATCATTAATATTTCTCAATTAACCATCTTCTTGAGAGCATTTGCTGTAAGAGCAAGTTTAGTTAGGCATTGACTCAGAAAAGTCAGCTCAGATTTTATTTATGAGGGATCAACTAGAAAACCCTTTTTCTGAAGGTCTTTCTAAAATGTGTTCATTCCTGTCTTAGTTGGCTTCCCTGGTAGCTCAGCTGGTAAAGAATCCGCCTGCAGTGCGGGAGACCTGGGTTCAATCCCTGAGTTGGGAAGATCCCCTGGAGAAGGGAATGGCTACCCACCCTGGTATTCTTGGCCTAGAGAATTCCATGGATAGAGGAGCCTGGCAGGCTACTGTCCGTGGGGTCACAAAGAGTCGGACACAACCAAGTGACACACACAGTGTTGTTCCTGCCTTAGTAAGAATTCATTGTACGTACTTGACTCTTTCTTTAATAAGTGGGGATCTTACAAGATGTTAGAATCCCTGTTTTGACATCCATTCTCATTATAGATGGTTTGAATAATATCAATTCCCTGTTTGTGGGATGAGATCATTACCAAGGAGTATTGTTTTTCTGCATGTCACAGAACCTATAGTGCCCTTTTGAGGCAGAGAAAGGCACCCCCTCAGAGGTGAGGACTTAGAATAACAGGCCTCCCCTCTCTGAGCCATTTTAACAC